ACATCCGCATAATACTGCGTTGCAAATATATTCAAATATACGCCACATAATAACCACCAATAAATAAACGTCTTCCAAAATCATGCCACTGAAGATCCTTCTCTAGAGATACGTTGTATTTACTTATAACAAAACTGATGATAAATGAAATGAAGTAAGATGATAACGTAAATTAAATTGATTGAAACAAATCATTACGATACTGCAGCATTTTACATAAAGTTACACAAATACGGTAGAACCATAATAAATTATTTATGAATATATATATATATAATTATTTATGAATATATATATATATATATATATATATATATATATATATATATATATATATATATATATATATATATATATATATATATATATATATATATATATATATATATATATATATATATATATATATATATATATATATCTATAAAATATTCATGGCTCCTATACAATTACAATATAATTAAAACTTCATTTAACATACATCAATTAACATGTCTCGGTATAAATTTGCAATAGCGAAACACTAGAATAAAAAGAGCTTTTAAAATTTAGAAAATTTAGAAAACAATAAATTACTGCCAAATCACTAAACCTGAATCAAATAAACTATAATTCTAATAGAAAATAGTATTTTACGAAATAGCAAAAATTTATGAAACAAAATCACTAGAAAATTAAATTTACCTTGTACAAGCTGTAATTTTATGACAAATATAATTTGTCTGTCACCGTCATAGTGACCTGTATAACGTCCAGTGCATTGCAATATAACACTTAAAATTTAGTCAATATATAGCAAACTACTGAGTACTGAGCGGGAAAACGGATCGTGCAAAACATGAAAAATCGATTTGCACGAAATAAAGCTGGGACGGCGGGAAAAATAGTTATGTAAAATAAAGGCCCGTCCTTCAAATACAGACATAATACATATATCTGGTTCATAAAACAAAAATGTAACTTTCTTATTACTGAAAGGATTTTTGTGAAATAAACGGCGAGATGTTTAAATTGAGACATGGAAATTTATGCAAACCACAAAAATACTCTAAATAATAATTTCACCCGAAAACTCTAAATTGAACAAAAGATGATGCAATCTCACATCAATGAATATAGAGTAAAAATGAGGTTCGGCGTGAAAATATAATGCAAGATTTTACAAACGTACTTTCACTTTGTGACAGTGTAACATTATTAGTTATAAAGATTGTTGACAGGTTATATTACCCTATATAAACGGCTGTTTGTAAATATAACCCGAGCCGCTAGGCGAGGGTTATATTTCAAACAGCCGTTTATATACGGCCATATAACCTGTCAACAATCTTTATAACGAATTTATAATACTGCAGACATCATTTTTTAGAGAAAAAAGTAAGATTTTTTCATAATTCGACAACAGCCGTGTATATAAAACTATATAAACGTCACGATTATCCAATGAAAAGCGACGTTACAAACGTGCAGTATTATAAAATTACATATAACAGCTGTTTAGAGGCAAAATTAACGTTTAAACATAAATAACAAATGACTACTTTAAACATTAGGAATAATGGTTCTGTATTAAACTTAATTTGTATAGAGTCAGTATAAACGCTTAATATCATAAAAGTTGTCGTGATACCGTAAAATTTAGTTGAAATTTGTCATAGCTGTTTCTCAAATTACAATATATCCGTATTATAAATTAAATAAAAGTTAATACAAATGACCTTTTCAAGAAAATGTGGGTAATAATCGATAATGTTACATGAGGTTCATATATATGTACAACTTTACACAGACAAAATAAAGGATGAAAATCTAAGGTATTTACTGATGAAAATCACCGCATACTAGTATATAACATACTACTTCTGATATAATAAGCATTAACAATAAATTTTGCACATTTTCTAGGGTGAGTTTGAACCAAGAAAACAAGTTTGTCTTTGTTTGATTTGCGTATAAATTCATCACAGTTTAAAATGTTTCCAAATATAACAGATCTTGTGTTACTATAAAGAGCACATTCAACAAGAAAGTGAGTCTCGTCTTCAACTAGTCCGCTATTGCACAACTTACACAGTCTTTGTTCAGGGGATTCACCCACATACCGTCCGGTTTCAACCCTAAGTGGAAGTATTCCGGTTCTGAATTGAGCAAATAAAGCCCGTTCATTTCTTTTTAAGTTCAACTTAACATATTCCTCACAAGTAAACTCAGTTTTAAATGTTCTATATGTTCTCAACTTTGATACTCGTTCGTAATCTCTAGACCAAAGGGTTGAATAAAACTGGTTCATGTTTTCTTTGGCTAAGTCCATTGAGACGGCGAGTTTCCTATTGTAATACTCCGTTAGGTGAAGTCTAGACATAACGGTTTTAATATCACTGCCAATAAACAAATTTCATGGTCAATCTATGTGTGAAGCTGTTTGATGTGAAAAACGTCATGTCAACTTGCAATTACTTGTTCATCCATATATAAATAAACCCGTTTCATATTTTGCCGACATATTATGACTTCCATAAGGTCAACATTTTTAGCTTCTGAATCTCTATATTTATCATGTTTAAATATTTTACAATCTTTCAGTCGTGCTTTTAGTGACTATATTAAGATAATTATACGTCCTAAAAATATTAATGTTTGTTTTTACATTATTAAAATCTAGTAGTAGCCTGATTACATAATTATATCTAAATATTCTCGTTATCTTCTTGTATTTAATCGTCAGACATTTCTATTTAAATACACTTCTAATAAAAAGACTTAATTGATGAAATCAATTAAAATCATCTCGTAAAATCTATAATAGTTTTACTTATCAAGGTATGTTTTACAGGCTACAACCGTTTGTTACATGTCCAAATACCGACATCGCTTTGTCCTTTGAAGTAGACAATATTCTTGATAATTAGATAATTATGTGTAAATACCTTTACTTTTCACACCGATCAAGATAAAAATAATATATATAAAGACGAAATTTTGTCAAGAAACCATAGTTATTCTTTAATTATAAAAAATAGACTAAAAATTCATTGCTAGCTTTATTTTGCCAGTGTGAATATTGTGATCGTAAATCGTATTTGAAGGTAAGCTAAACTTATTTTTTCTCTCTTTAATATGCATTCCGCAAAGAATCTTTCATGTTCGCTTGTTGCGATTTAGTCATAGTATAACTTTTTATCAAACCATTTATAACATACGTTTTGATACACTTTCATACCCAAAATGTGAATTTATTAATCGCATTAACAAATGAGTTCTCACGCTTTCAAGATATTATTGTAATCTCGAATGAGGTAGATCTTATATGAAATAACTATTACAAATCTTATTGTTCTTGGTATAAAGAATATATATCGGAAGATATATACATGTTATTATACATGTATATTTAAAAGTATAATGTTTTTTTTTTCAGATTAAAAAAGAATATGGCGTTTTTATCATTAAGCACGGTTTTAGTTGTCTTAGTTTCCATGGATACAAAATCATTCGCTATGCACATCGATGTTGAATTTGGTAACTTTGAAGGTAACTTTTTCACCTTATTTAAAGCCACTTATAATTAATTCAAATCTTTACATATTCCTTGACAATCCAATTTTTAAAGGGAGATAGTATTAAAAGTTTATTAAGATGTTAAAAAATCAAATTTTAAAAATGGAAATACAGTGTAGTATTAAAACTTTAGTCAAAGCTCATAGAAAACATTCTAAAACAGACAGCGGAAATAAAATAGGGGTAAAAACTTTAATGTTTTTTTTATCACATACCCGTGGCGCTTTTGCGATTCCGTAAAAATGAGATTGCACGGGAGGTGTTCGCATAATATAATTTTATTCAAGTCGTTCAATAAATTCAGTATTAAACTATTACTCATTCAATATCCTCTATTTATTTCATTAACATATTTTTAAATGCTCATTGGCTAATTTTGATAACATATGAATCTTTATATATATATATTTTCAGCATTGACTTGCTACACTTGCCCAGATAAACACAACAACAAACAATGCAACAAGTGGGCTCCTTATTTTGTGGGTTTCATATTTTGCCGACATATTATGACTTCCATAAGGTCAACATTTTTAGCTTCTGAATCTCTATATTTATCATGTTTAAATATTTTACAATCTTTCAGTCGTGCTTTTAGTGACTATATTAAGATAATTATACGTCCTAAAAATATTAATGTTTGTTTTTACATTATTAAAATCTAGTAGTAGCCTGATTACATAATTATATCTAAATATTCTCGTTATCTTCTTGTATTTAATCGTCAGACATTTCTATTTAAATACACTTCTAATAAAAAGACTTAATTGATGAAATCAATTAAAATCATCTCGTAAAATCTATAATAGTTTTACTTATCAAGGTATGTTTTACAGGCTACAACCGTTTGTTACATGTCCAAATACCGACATCGCTTTGTCCTTTGAAGTAGACAATATTCTTGATAATTAGATAATTATGTGTAAATAGCTTTACTTTTCACACCGATCAAGATAAAAAATAATATATATAAAGACGAAATTTTTGTCAAGAAATCATAGTTATTCTCTTAATTATAGAATATAGACAAAAATTCTTTGATAGCTTTATTTTGCCAGTGTGAATATTGTGATAGAATAATTTCAAATCGTATTTGAAGGTAAGCTAAACTTATTTATTCCTCTCTCTTTATTATGCACTCCGCGATGAATCTTTCATGTTCGCTTGTTGTGATTTAGTTATAGTATAACTTTTTATGAAACCATTCTTGCGAATTTGTATATAACATATATCGTTTTGATACACTTTCATACCCAAAATGTGAATTAATTAATCGAATTAACAAATGAATTCTCGCGCTCTCAAGATATTTTTGTAATCTCGAATGAGGTAGATCTTATATGAAATAACTATTACAAATCTTATTGTTCTTGGTATAAAGAATATATATCGGAAGATATATACATGTTATTATACATGTATATTTAAAAGTATAATGTTTTTTTTTTCAGATTAAAAAAGAATATGGCGTTTTTATCATTAAGCACGGTTTTAGTTGTCTTAGTTTCCATGGATACAAAATCATTCGCTATGCACATCGATGTTGAATTTGGTAACTTTGAAGGTAACTTTTTCACCTTATTTAAAGCCACTTATAATTAATTCAAATCTTTACATATTCCTTGACAATCCAATTTTTAAAGGGAGATAGTATTAAAAGTTTATTAAGATGTTAAAAAATCAAATTTTAAAAATGGAAATACAGTGTAGTATTAAAACTTTAGTCAAAGCTCATAGAAAACATTCTAAAACAGACAGCGGAAATAAAATAGGGGTAAAAACTTTGAAGTTTTTTTTTAATCACATAACCGTGGCGCTTTTGCGATTCCGTAAAAATGAGATTGCACGGCAGATGTTCGCATAATATAATTTTATTCAAGTCGTTCAATAAATTTAGTATTAAACTTTTACTCATTCAATACCCTCTATTTATTTCATTAACATATTTTTAAATGCTTATTGGCTAATTTTGACAACATGAATCTTTATATTTTTTCAGCATTGACTTGCTACACTTGCCCAGATAAACACAACAACAAACAATGCAACAAGTGGGCTCCTGATATCCCTTGTCCATTTAGTAAGTGTACATTGTACATGTTTTTGGAAAAAAAATAAACAATAAACCAACATTTGAACGCCAGCATTGATAATAACCATAGTCACTTGGTTTCGGGATGGAGATCCTTGCTGTCATATTTATCAGAATATAACGATTTTTCAAATGTATTAAAATGCGTTATTTTAATACCCGCCGTTTTTCACTGGTATCCAAGAGCATATGATAATAAAAGAGCAAACAGTCTGCTTGTCCTGCCACACAGATTCTGTAGTTTCTCAATTTTAGTATCTTGATACTTATTACTATTAGTGAATTGTTTTAAATTCAAGGCGTGGCAAATCTATCACACAAATCAGTCGAGTATTAAGTTTACTTTATTGGAGGAACTGGCATTTTTTTCTTCATTCAACTAATTAGCTACTGACTGGTCTAATTAAAGTAAACTATTTCAATAACTTATGTATACACAGTGTAACCTTTACTTTTTAGGACACACAGTATGCAAGACTGTACATCGTTTCAACAACAGCACAGGACAAAGCTTACACGTGGACAAAATGTGTGCCATGCCAGAACATTGTACCAGTGATGACGTGGGCTGCAAGGCTACCGACATAGAGGGAGAAATCGTAAGTTTAAAATTCTGAATTCTAAATTTTAAAATTCCAGTTTAATCAAAACCAAAACTATAAGGATTGACAAAATTATAGGTAGAACTTAATGTCAGAAATTTTATAAAATCCTAGTAATTATAAGAACACATGGAATTATTGCATTGTATTATAAATTGTATGAAAACCTAGTTATTATAAGAACACATGGAATAATTGCATTATATTGTACTATGCTGGTATGTATGGTTGCAAATTTGGGACACCTTTGTGCGTCGTGATGTCGCTAGCTATAGCACGACAAAGCGTCAAACGGCGCGTTATCACGCTTTCGTCTGGTCGTCATGTCGATAACGAAGCACGCCAATTAAACGGCCGGTTGTCGTGCGGCGTGTTGTCGCAATGTCACATTGTTGCTCGGCTCAAATCGAAGGATTGGCTATTTGTATTATAGAAGCCAAGCGACAAAGCGACATCGCGAAAACTCGCCGCACGACAATGTGCCGTTTGGCGCGTTTCACTAGCGACAAGACGGCAAGACGAAATGAAGTGATACCGGCTTATTTAATGTAAACATGTTTATAATTCTTGTTCCAAAATAAATTTAAAAAAAATATTAATTCATTAAATTAATTGATTAATTATTTAATAATTTATTAAATGTTTTATTTATAGGAATGTGTTTCCTGCTGTACAGTATCCTATTGTAACGTCGCCGTACCGTATAACGTTACTACGTCACAGACGCTATCCATTTCTCAGACTGGTTCAACAGGAAGTCACGTGTCGATTATAGACAGGTTAATGCTTGTTGCTACATTTTCGTTGACAGTTTTAGCCAACATCTGAAATACATTATATGCGTTAAAGTAGAAGTGCAGCCTTCCAAGTGCTATATATAATATAATTTAATCCGTAAAAATAAAGACAGACAATAAACAAATTTCATGGTCAATCTATGTGTGAAGCTGTTTGATGTGAAAAACGTTATGTCAACTTGCAATTACTTGATGAACATGCAAGTGATTTATTCTATGGTATCAGTGAGGAAATATTTCTATTTGTTTATATATTTATGTACTTGCATATGAATAATTAAACTGAATAGTTAAAAAAAAGCCTTGTTCTTTTTCTAAATATATGCACATACTTTTGAAAAAAGGAAAGGAAACGAAAGACTCCCATATTACAACTAAAACAGCAACAGAAAAAAAATCACCAAGGGAATGGTCTTTCTTTATACATTTTAAGAACGGATATGCGTTCGCACGTGCGCGCATGTGTACTGGCAGACTTACATAAGCTTCGTTACCTCATACGTATCCTCTGCTCAGAAACGTATTATGTAATGCTTAAATTATTTCTCACGAAAACATGCACGTTCAATATGAAAATTAAACCTTCTGATTCTGATTATAAATAACCTGTCAGCATTTGTAGTAATCTCACGCTGCAAGATAGGAGTGTTACTTTGGCTTACGCCCGTTTTCCGTCCTCTTCTGAGTTAAATGCCGAGATGACTGAGATATTTTTTAATAAAACTTCATGTTGGTCCAGCAATTTTGAAAGTACGACTCGTACATAATATGTTAACTCCGTCTCCTGTCCTGCCCGTCAAAATCTCTAGGAAATCGGTCAACACTTAATTAACTGTTAACCAATATTGATAGTTATGGCAAATACAGTTTCTTAAAGAAACGAACACCCTGTTTATTATCCTTAAAAAAATTGTAGCAATGTTATGTTATTGTACTTAATGAATAGAATCTACAAATGTACGTGGCGAAAAAAAATCATCCCAAATTATCAACGATTATTAATGCACTGTTTTGTAAAAACGTAAAAGTGTTAATGTTATATGATTTTAACCACATTGCTATGCTTATATTTGTTTATTTAAAAAGAATACTGATATATTTGGTATAGATGGATACCCCCCAAAAAGCTATTAGATATATGAACTGTTTGTATATGTATCTTGTATTTATGTGTGTGTTGTATGTATACAAGTTTTGTATGTGTTGAAAAATGCAATGTTTTGCAGGTTTGTAAATAAAATTTGTACTTTGTTAAAAGTGAAACACTACATATGTACTCTTAACCAAAATTGAACTTCTAAGCCTATGTATATAGCAAAATTTATCGTATTGTTTGCATTTTAATTTCAAACAACATTCTGTTCTTTCATTTTACATACGCATGATCGGGAAGGAACTCTTTTTACTTGATTAAGATAAGTATAACTTACGACACATTGTTTCTCATTTCTTAAGAAAGTGCAAATATATGAGTTTTAATATGTTTAAATAATTGTTTTAAAGCATGCTACATGCTTGCAATTATTATCTAAAATGTGCTGAATGTGAAATAATTTGTCATAAAAGTAGCAAATTATGAACAAAGTAGCATTTGACTTCAGTACAAAATGCTAAATCACTATAACTATACTGATTGCCAAAAAGCAACAAAAGAAAAAGAAGGTTCAGGTAACGCGATTTATAGTTGACACATACGATGGACGGAAACGATGCGCATACCATTCGGGTATGTAATAATTTCAAAATGGTGGCCAGTGTCTAATTATATTAATAACTTAGGAATTTTTGCATTTCTGAACTCTAATATGAATACTGAGACCAGAGACTTCCTTCCACCATATCTTCCTCCATACGAGCATCCGCCAGCATGGATTCCTCCTCACGAGGTATGATTTGAACTTGCATTTCATCAATAATTTATTTTAGACCAAATTTCGGATATATCTTATATCCGGATAAACTATGTTTATTAATCATTTTAATGTATCTGCCACCAAAAGCAGTAAACTTATTCACATGTACAGACTCAATCAAACCGAGTCTGCAATTTTGATGTTAATTCGCTGTTATATATGCTTCTGACACGACTTTTCCCAGAATTTTATATTTGATTATTTCACAAGTATTGTGTGCAGTTGAAAAAAGTTGGCCCCTACTTCACTTCATTCAATTTCATTGTTGTTATATTTCTTTGGTCCTTTGGGATAATTAATTTCAGCATTTTAAGTGTTGTAAAATAAGGGTGTAACGGTTTACCGGTATACCGATATATTGCAATATGAAAAAATTAATTTCGAACCGCGGTACGATTTTTGGAAAACCGGTAATTTATAAAAATCATCATTTTCAATTAATTGCCCTCTAATTTTGTACAAATTTCACATAAAATCTTAAATTGGCAAATTTTGTTGCCGCCAACGTAAGATAAAAGTATCTGACAACTAGTACACTTAAAAGTCAATAAGCGGCCGCATAATTTACATAAGCGGCCCAGATGTGAAAGGTCACACGCGACTAGTTTTGTTTATCAAATTGTGTGACACTAACTTTCTATTTATTCCTTACATTTTTATTAAGTTTCTACTAAAAATATAGATAATATATAAATGTTACTCCATCTTTACATCAAAACATATACACGACAATACGTATTGCAATATATTGCAATACACTTCAGCTAAATGGCAATATATTGCAATACGGTTTTTGCTGTATTGTTACACCCCTATTGTAAAATGAGTACAGCTAAAGCCATTGCTAGGGGCATGAGGGATGTTGCACCTTTCATTAATTATCCCTCATGTACAGCAGGGTTAGAATTTTGCATATTTTTCCACTTGCAAATTTTTGCTAGTGATTTTTTCATGAACTCGCAAAATGGTAGAGCTGTCATCGATATCGACAATATCGATGTATCGTTGATATTTTTTTGTCGATCAATAATCGATACACATTTTAAAAAATCGATACTTTTGACTTATAAATTAAATGTCTAGAAATTATACAATTCACCCAAAATATATGCAGAAACAATTATTTATATCTAATGTTATGCTTTTGTTATATAGTGGAATTATTTCATAGCAATGGTGATAAAAAATATTGTCTGGAAAAAATCATGCAGTGGACAAGACACTGTACAGAACATGTTTTTGACTGAAATCATTGAAACAGGTATGAAAGTGAATGACAGACAAGTGAGTATAGGATATTATCAATATATCGGTGTATCGTTGATTTTAGTCACTTGATATCGATATATCGTTGATATGCTTTGCACTGAATCAATGACAGCTCTACAAAATGGGAAATTAACTTGCAAAATTGATTTATTTTTTTAATCTTTTACATACAAATAAACAAAGAACATTATCATACAGGGCCCTCAATCCAATTTGGGGGAAGCGGGTCGCTACCCTCAGCAGGGGGAATTTTAGTGTATGGGGGGAATTTTCCTCTTTTTTTCATGATCAAATAACAAATAAACTTATTTAAATATCAGCTGTTTTTTTATTTACAAGCATACTATTTTTTTAAAAATCCCAAATAGGTTACACTAAACTGTTCAGAAGTGATTGATAAGATTTGAAGAAAAGTTTTTTTAACACCTTACACCATCAGATCTTTATGCTGCTTAGCTTTCTTTATGATTCCACCCCCCCCCCCCCAAATAAAAAATAAAATAAAAATAAGCATTGTGAAACACATTCACACAAATGTCTCCATTTCCACTAATATGAACAATACATAAACCTAAAGTAAATTCTATTCATAAACTACATTTTTAGTGTTCTAACACACCTTTTACTAAGACAAAGCTTCCTTTTCTTGACTTTGTAAAACATTCGTAAAAAATCGACATCGCGAAAATATGTGACAAATGAAAATTTGTTTGTTTTCTGTTTACACATCCACAATTCTAGTTGTTTCCGATGTAACTTATATAAAATTAAATTGATTGTTTATTATAAGATCCTTTTTCATCAGTTATTTAATAAAGTATCATGAAAACAAAACTTACAAGTTTGTAATTTACGGCAATATTTACCGTGGTTGATGTAACATTTTGAAGACAAAAAAATGATTTCATGAATAAACAATTTGAAATCAAATTGTTGACGGGAATTGTGATTTTTTTCTGCATATTTCTGTTGAAATTTTAGCATTTTTACAGGATGAAAGGCCAATATGTGACGGTAGATTTTGAGGGAAAAAACAAACGGAAACGTGCAGACATGTACTGTACGATATTCCGCTTACAAAATAGACGTCAAATAGATTGATTTTAATTTTCAAAAACAACATTAGTTTTCATTTTTCTCTTTAACACTTTATATGTTTTGAGGGGGAATTATTACCTCTGTTAGGGGGGAAAAAAACATACTATTTTGGTGGGGGACTGCGACCAATATCGGCCGCAGATTTGGTTGATCGAGGGCCCTGTCATATATAATGACAAATCACAAACAGTTACACAATTTTGTTTGAAACAACAGACTCACTCTACCCACATAATTATTTGATTACTGGTGATAAACTGGAAAAAAAAAGATTATAAACAATCAGTTGTAATTACAAGATCTACATAAAAAGAATTTACCGACGCAGAAGCAAAAGACTCTGCTTGATTAGGAGAGGCAGGCCGCTTCAAAAACTGATTCATTACGTTTAATTTAACTTTTTAAGCAGACAACAACAAATGGCAAGTTACATGTTGTTGTCAAACTTTAACAACATCCTGCCGATGTGTGCGCAGCATAACAGGTGCTCTCCACTTTCGTTTTACATTTTTCGAAAATGTCTCGAAAATTTTTAGGACTTTTCTACGCGCTGCATTACAGGTGTTCTAGAGCTACATTTGATTTACATTTTTCGAAAACAACTCGCAAATTTTTGCGAGTTCAAGATAAAAGCACTCACAATTTTTAACCCTTTCACTGCCATAGGGACGGCTTAAGCCGTCCCTGTTATTTTCGGCATATTTGCCATATGGACGGCTTTAGCCGTTTCTATAATAATAATAGTAATAATAATAAATAATAATAATAATAATAAAAATAATAATAAATATAAAGAAAATTATACCATCGACAATAATTATTATTATACTCACATATTTGGAAACATATATAATTATTATAATACTAATAACAAATAATAATAATGATATTAATTAATATTATAATAATTTCTTAGAAAACCCTCTGGCAAATAGGTGATCAATAAAACAATAACCCTCTGGCAGCGAAAGGGTTAAAATTCACTTGCATTTTGCGAGTATGCAAGTTTAAATTCGAACCCTGTACAGACTCAATTAAACTGTGTCAGCAATTTTCATGTTATTTTGTTGTTATTAATGCTTTCGAGGGATCACCCATTTAATAGTACATGTATCATATATTTTATGATTGTAAATTTAACAGTTATGTAAATGCCAGTAACATCTTTAAAACCTTTAATGTCAAGACATCCACAAATTAATATGTTATTATTACTTCAGGGAAAAGAAATTCTTTTTTCTCTTCCAGAGAGATCATCATCCAGACTATTGTTCAGATTTAGAAAGGTTTCTTCCGCGAAATATCAGTTTACAGCGCAGTAAAACATCTGAACAGGTTAGTTTATTAGTATAATATTGTACAGAAAGTTGTGGCAATGAGTCATGGACGACAGCGTTTAAAAACAAAATACTTTACTGGTATTTTATACGCCATTGCTGAGCAAACATGCAAAAAATCCTTCTAAATAAAAGCACTGTATGAATTTAAAAATACATGTCTTGTGATTTCCTTGAAAGTTTTTTGTGTTGCATACATGTATGCGCATTTCAGGCCTGTATTAATGCTTTAATATTTAATGTACAATATAATAGTATGTATACTTAAAGTAATTCTTTAAATGATGTTTCTTATTTTACCCCAAATTGATTGAGATTCAACTGTCAAAATTATTTTAAGTTGTTCGTTATTTTTTTGTTTTACAGCCATTGTCCACAACTGTGTGGGACAGCTCTCTTACATATGTGAAATTACAAAATAAATGTTTCTCAAACCAAATATAATAATACACATGTACAAAGCTTAAGATTCCCCTTCCCTCAGAAAAACACCCACCATAAATGATAAAGTAATCCTTTATTGTTATGGATGAAGATAACTTTAATTGGATATCCATGGCTGAGTTGTAATGGCCATTTACTTCATACTACTTGCCCTTCTATACTGTGAGTTCGAATGTGGCCAAATTGTTTTAATCCTATCATAGGGAATGCTATCCAGCTAGCTTAAGGAAAGTGGGCGATTATACTCAGATGCCCTTTTGTGCCTAAAATTAGGCAGGGAGGGGCACTTGAGAAAAATCGCCATATGACTTTTACATTGTGGTAGTGACTCAACAAAACAAAAAAACAAAAACAAGATATTTTTTATGCAATATAAACTCTAGTAGTAATTATAAAAGGCATATGTTCCCATATATATGTAGATTGCAATAAAGTACGAAAATGAGAAGATGTAGAATTTAACTAAAATGTTGAATCAATTGTTGCTCATTTCACTAACTTTAAACCGAAAGTTTGATATTAACTAAAATCTGTATGGCCAGTTTGCATTAGAGTAAGTCTGATACTCAGATAGATAATAATGAAATTAGTCATTTATGTAAATAATTGAGTTGTTGTATGCTGTGATTTTCATTTATTTGAGTAATGGGAAATTTTAATTGATAATTTAATATGAAATTAGGCAAAGTCTATGAACGGAAAGTTGGTTAAAATTTTTTTTTTCCATTTTAAAGGTGTCATTCGGTATTTTATGGACCGCTTTTGTTTTCAAAGATTATTATTAATCCGAAAAGTTGTGATTGTTCATTATCAGAATAACCCACCTATTATCATTGAGTTTCATTGAAAATGGCTGGGCCCGACTAGAACTGACAGCAGCTTATCTGGAGCTCTAAATTTTGGTTTTGATTTTTCAATAAAATATTTATTTAAACAAAATTTGAATTATTAATGAACACTTTAGTTACATACATGTGCAATGCAGTATCAAAAATTGATTTAAATATAACTGTGCTTTTTACAGCTTGGTTTTAACATCAGAGGAGGAAAGGAACACAACTGTGGTATCTACATATCTAAGGTAACATTTAACTTTTCAGTATATAGAAAATGTAGTGTTAAATATTTTGTAATATACTACTAAGTATGATATTACAAACATTTGTTTTTATGCTCCCGAAAATTTTTGGGGGGGAGCATATAGTCGTCGGGTTGTCCGTCCGTCCGTCCCAATTCGTGTCCGGCCCATAACTTAGTTATTTGAAGTCGGATTTTAAAACTATTTACAGAAATGATCACCATATTGAGACGACGTGTCGCGCGCAACATTTGGGTCGCTACCTTGAAGGTCAAGGTAACAGCATGACCTTGCATCAAAATCGTGTCCGGTCCATAACTTCCTTTTTTGAAGTCGGATTTTAAAACTATTTCACAGAAATGATCACCATATTGAGACGACGTGTTGCGCGCAACATTTGGGTCGCTACCTTGAAGGTCAAGGTCACAGAATGACCTTGCAGCAAAATCCTGTCCGGCCCATAACTTCGTTATTTGAAGTCGGATTTTAAAACTATTTCACAGAAATGATCACCATATTGAGAAGACGTGTCACGCGCAACATTTGGGTTGCTACCTTGAAGGTCAAGGTCACAGCATGACCTTGCAGCAAAATCCTGTCCGGTCCATAACTTCTTTATTTGAAGTCGGATTTTAAAACTATTTACAGAAATGATCACCATATTGAGAAGACGTGTCGCCCGCAACATTTGGGTCGCTACATTGAAGGTCAAGGTCACAGCATGACCTTGCATCAAAATCGTGTCCGGTCCATAACTTCGTTATTTGAAGTCGGATTTTAAAACTATTTCACAGAAATGATCACCATATTGAGACGACGTGTCGCGCGCAACATTTGGGTCGCTACCTTGAAGGTCAAGGTCACAGCATGACCTTGCAGCAAAATCGTGTCCGGCCCATAACTTCGTTATTTGAAGTCGGATTTTAAAACTATTTCACAGAAATGATCACCATATTGAGAAGACGTGTCACGCGCAACATTTGGGTTGCTACCTTGAAGGTCAAGGTCACAGCATGACCTTGCAGCAAAATCCTGTCCGGTCCATAACTTCTTTATTTGAAGTCGGATTTTAAAACTATTTCACCGAAATGATCACCATATTGAGAAGACGTGTCGCCCGCAACATTTGGGTCGCTACATTGAAGGTCAAGGTCACAGCATGACCTTGCATCAAAATCGTGTCCGGCCCATAACTTCGTTATTTGAAGTCGGATTTTAAAACTATTTCACAGAAATGATCACCATATTGAGAGGATGTGTCGCGCCCAACATTTGGGTCGCTACTTTGAAGGTCAAGGTCACAGCATGACCTTGCAGCAAAATCTTGTCTGGCCCATAACTTCGTTATTTGAAGTCAGATTTTAAAAATATTTTACAGAAATGATCACAATATTGAGATGACGTGTTGCGCACAACATTTGGGTCGCTATCTTGAAGGTCAAGGTCACAGCATGACCTTGCAGCAAAATGGCCTTTGGCCAGTTACTTCCTTCCTTGAAGTCGGATTTAACAACTATTTCACAGGGATGATCACCATATTGAATAGACGTGTCACATGCAACATTTGGGGCGCTACCTTGAAGGTCAAGGTCACAGCTTGACCTTGCAGCAAAATTGTGTCTAGCCCATAACTTCCTTATTTGAAGTCTGATTTTACAACTATTTCACAGAAATGATCACCATATGGAGACAATGTATCGTGCACAACATTTGGGTTGTTTTTACACTTTGAACTTTGTCTGTGACATAACTCTTGACACTACAAGAGGTATACCTTCCTGTGTCCAAAACCTATTCAGGGAGCATCACCCGGTTCAACCGGCTCTTGTTTTATTTTGTTGTAATTTTAATACTTATATATCTCTACAAGTAAATTAAACATTGTCTTTATTGACTATATATTGTAATAGGGCAATCTTGAAGTTTGCATGGAGTGATAAAAACCACCTTAGAAATAGATTTTATTTTCTATTTGAATGTAAAGACTTTCTCATGTTTTATACTGGTAATAAAATATCATAATAGTTTCATATTACGATTTTATTATTAATGTAATATCATGTAATGTAATATTGCATACATTTATACAGTGCAGTGGAGTGCAGTACAGTACAGTACAGTCAATATACAATACTAATACATGTACAATATTGCTCACATTTATTTTACAGGTGATGTCAAATAGTGAGGCAGATAGGTTAGGACTACAAGAAGGAGATCAGGTAACTATAGTAACAGTAACTAGGTCAATACAAACTTTCACATGCTGCTAATATAACTTTGTTACACAGGTGAACAAAACTACAAACCACAAACATTAATCAACTACAAATTTCATTATGTTTAGTTCACCCTTAGTATGTAACAGAGTACCAAAAACAATGAAATTATGAAATATGCAAGTTTGAAATATTATCAAAGAATTATATATGATATTTCTACTTACTTTAAGTGTTAAAACACAGTTCCTTTGATATTTTGAATTTAAATAACAGTACCTGTAGGAAAGTGTGTGGGACAATTAATTTGAGAAGTGTTTAAGAAAAGTTCATGCAAAATTTAAGATCTACATTAGTCAACAGGCTTACTTGTGGTCATATCTTGTATCAGAGTAATTCAGAAACTATTAAAATTATATCTTACATGAACAGTGAACTGTAAAGATTTTTTTCATGGTTATTTAACTTAAACATTGTGGACTAGAAAACATGAACATGACAAGCTTTGTTTAGTGGTATACTTTTTTGTTCTTAGGTAATATTTTATAATGTCAGTTACTATTGATGTACTGGTATGTGTTGATGATGTGTTCCATATAGAAATATTGATTTGACCTACACCAAGATATATGATTGATATTCAACTATTAACATTCACCTTTATATTTGATAGATATTCAGCAATTTAATATTCAAGATCTTTGATTCATATTAAATAAGTTAACATTCATCATGATATTTGATTAATATTCAACAATTTAACATTCACCAAAATCTTTGATTGATATTCAACAATTTAACATTCAAGATCTTTGATTGATATTAAATAAGTTAACATTCACCAAGATCTTTGGAGGCATCCGTGGCTGAGTGGTTAAGGTCGTTGACTTCAAACCACTTGCCCCTCACCACTGTGGGTTCGAATCCTGACAGGGACTTTGGATTCTTTCATGTGAGGCAGCTATCCAGCTAGCATATGGAACGTCGGTGGTTCTACTCAGGTGCCTGTTCATGCCTGAAATAATGCACGGAAGGGCACCTGAGGTCTTCCTCCACCAGTAAAGCTGTCTTCCTCCACCAGTAAAGCTGGAACGTCGCGATATGACCTATACTGTGTTGATGTGACGTAAAACCCAAAACAAACAAACAAACAAACCAAGATCTTTGATTGATTTTCAGCAATTTAACAATCATGATCTGTTATTAATTGATATTCATCAACTTAAATTCAAGATATTTGATAGATATTCAACAATGTAACATTTATCAAGATATTTGATTGATATACAACAATTTATTCTATTATCTCATTTATAATATTATGTTTCAGATTCTGTCAGTGAATGAACAAAATTTCGAGTTGATAGAGCATAGCGAGGTAACAACCATTTCTTCTTGAAGTTGTCAAGAATAAACCGATCATAGACTTAGATAGATCGAATCATTTAGTTCTGATTAAATCCATGGTAACTCAACTCACACCTTTGTGTTTACATGGTAGCAGTCATTGTAATAAATAATAAAATTGTAACATACTTGAATTATTTTAAAGTACTTACTATAATTGTTCAAGAACAAATAATTTCTGAAACTGCTCACCCTCAGAAATCTCTTAATGCATTACTACTTGTAATTGTTACTTGCAAAACATTTTGTAAAAATTGTAAAAATTGCATGCTGCATTGTAATATACTAAACTTATCACATAAGTTTTTCCATAACTTCCTGAAATATCTAAAATGTACAGTTAATGTTATTTTTAGCTCGACTATTCGAAGAATATGAGAGCTATTGTAGTCGCCCCGGCGTCGGCGTCAGTGTCCGCGTCGGCATCTGCGTTGGTTAAAGTTTTTTGTAAAGTCAAATATCTCAATTATTGCTTGAGATATTCAATTGAAACTTACAATACTTATTTATAGTAACAAGGTACATCAGATTGACAAGTTGGATAACTCTACCTACAATATTGACAGAATTATGCCCCTTTTTAACTTAGAAATTTTGGTTAAAGTTTTTTGTAAAGACAAATATCTCAATTATTGTTTGAGATATTCAATTGAAACTTACAATACTTATTTATAGTAATAAGGCACATCAGATTGACAAGTTGGATAACTCTGCCTACAATATTGACAGATTTATGCCCCTTTTTAACTTAGAAATTTTGGTTAAAGTTTTTGTAAAGTCAAATATCTCAATTATTGCTTGAGATATTCAATTGAAACTTACAATACTTATTTATAGTAACAAGGTACATCAGATTGACAAGTTGGATAACTCTGCCTACAATATTGACAGAATTATGCCCCTTTGAAACTTAGAAATTTTGGTTAAAATTTTTTTGTAAAGTCAAATATCTCAATTATTGCTTGAGATATTCAATTGAAATTTACAATACTTTTGTGATCGCTTTTCGTCCGTCGTCCGTCCGTCGGTCGTCCGTCTGGCGACCGTCCGTCCGTAAACTATTACTTAAAATGACATCTCCTCATAAACCACTAAGCCAATTTCATCCAAACTTCACAGGAATGTTCCTTTGGTGGTCACCTTTAAAAATGTTCAAAGAATTTAATTCCATGCAGAACTCTGGTTGCCATGGCAACCAAAAGAAAAAAAATTAAATATCTTCTTTTAAAAAAACCCAAAGAGCTAGAGCTTAGCTATTTGGCATGAAACATCTTCTAGTGAATGTCTACCAAGTTTGTTCAAATAAAAGCCCTGGGGTCAAAATTGGCCCCGCCCCAAGGGTCATTGATTTTCCCTATATGCATATAGTAAAAACTTAAAAAATCTTCTTTTAAAGAACCCAAAGAGCTAGAGCTAAGATATTTAGCATGAAACATGTTCTAATGGGTGTCTACAAAGTTTGTTCAAATAAAAGCCCTGGGGTCAAAATTGGCCCCGCCCCGGGGGTCATTGATTTTCCTTATATGTGTATAGCAAAAACTTAAAAAAATCTTCTTTGAAAAAACCCATATAGCTAGAGTTTAGATATTAAGCATGAAACATCTTCTAGTGAGTGTTTACAAAGTTTGTTCAAATAAAAGCCCTGGGGTCAAAATTTGCCCCGCCCCAGGGGGTCATTGATTTTCCCTATATGCATATAGTAAAAACTTAAAAAATCTTCTTTTAAAGAACCCAAAGAGCTAGAGCTAAGATATTTAGCATGAAACATGTTCTTATGGGTGTCTACAAAGATTTTTCAAATAAAAGCTCTGGGGTCAAAATTGGCCCCGCCCCGGGGGTCATTGACTTTCCTTATATGTGTATAGCAAAAACTTAAAAAATCTTCTTTGAAAAAACCCATATAGCTAGAGTTTAGATATTAAGCATGAAACATCTTCTAGTGAGTGTCTACAAAGTTTGTTCAAATAAAAGCCCTGGGGTCAAAATTGGCCCCGCCCCAGGGGGTCATTGATTTTCCCTATATGCATATAGTAAAAACTTAAAAAATCTTCTTTTAAAGAACCCAAAGAGCTAGAGCTAAGATATTTAGCATGAAACATGTTCTAATGGGTGTCTACAAAGTTTTTTCAAATAAAAGCTCTGGGGTCAAAATTGGCCCCGCCCCGGGGGTCATTGATTTTCCTTATATGTGTATAGCAAAAACTTAAAAAATCTTCTTTGAAAAAAACCCAAATAGCTAGAGTTTAGATATTAAGCATGAAACATCTTCTAGTGAGTGTATACCAAGTTTGTTCAAATAAAAGCCCTGGGGTCAAAATTGGCCCCGCCCCAGGGGGTCATTGATTTTCCCTATATGCATATAGTAAAAACTTAAAAAATCTTCTTTTAAAGAACCCAAAGAGCTAGAGCTAAGATATTTAGCATGAAACATGTTCTAATGGGTGTCTACAAAGTTTGTTCAAATAAAAGCCCTGGGGTCAAAATTGGCCCCGCCCCGGGGGTCATTGATTTTCCTTATATGTGTATGGCAAAAGCTTAAAAATCTTCTTTGAAAAAATCCAAAAAGCTAGAGTTTAGATATTAAGAATGAAACATCTTCTAGTAAGTGTCTACAAAGTTTGTTCAAATAAAAGCCCTGGGGTTAAAACTGGCCCTGCCCCAGAGGTGTCATTGTTTTTAACTATATGTGTATAGTAAAAACTTAAAAAATCTTCTTTTAAAAAACCCAATGAGCTAGAGGTTAGATTTTAAGCAGGAAACATCTTTTTGTTGGTGTCTACCAAGTTTGTCCAAATAAAAGCCCTTGGGTTTAAATTGGCCGTGCCAAAAGGGGGGGGGGGGCGGAGGTCATTGTTTTTCATTATATGTGTGTAGTAAAAACTTAACATCATGAAACATTTTCTAATGGGTGTCATCCAAGTTTGCTCAAATAAAAGCCCTGGGGTTTAAACTGGCCCCGCTCCGGGGGCCTATATACAGGTGAGCGACCTCAGGGCCATCATGGCCCTCTTGTTTATAGTAACAATGTACATCATTTTGCAAAATTGCATAACTCTGTCTGCAATATTTGCAGAATTATTTGCCCCTTTGAAACTTAGAGATTTTGGTTAAAGGTCTTCAAAGATATTTACTTGAAACTTTACACATGTACTTAGGGTAATAATTTGAGGGTCATAATTGTATGTCACTGACCAAGTTCCATAACTCTATCTTGCATTAAGGCTGATTCATATCCCCTTTTCTTCTTAGTCTCTTGGTTAATGTTTACATGCAAGTTTTACATATCTCAATAACTATTAAAGATATTTATTTAAAACTTCACATATGCATTTAGGGTCAGGATTGTAGGTCACTGACAAAGATCCATAATTCTATCTTGCATTTAGGCTGATTTTTCTTCCCTTTTTCAACTTAAAAAATTCATGGTAAAGTTTTGCTTGTAAGCTGTTATCTCCATAACTTACTGAAGGGTTTGTGCCTTTTTTGGGACAATTTTATGCATTCATAATAATAAAGCAGTGGTTTACTTGATAAAACATCTTAATAACAAGCCTTTGTACCTTTTCTGTCAATTTTATGTATTCATAGGTAATTAGTATTATTACACTCAATAAAACACCCTTGTGACATTACCATTACCTTGTGTTTTTTTGGATAGGTCATTCCATGAATTATAGTTGCCCCTTCTGACACAGACTTTGGATTCCTTCTTGTGAAGTTCTTATGGAACATCGGTGGTTCTACTCAGGTGCCCGTTTGTGCCTGAAATAACGCACGGAAGGGCATCTTAGGTCTTCCTCCACCAGTAAAGCTGGAACGTGGCCATATGACTTATACTGTGTAGGTGTGACTTAAAACCCAATCAAACAAAAAAGCAAACAAATTTAAGAGCAGAATTTTATTTCGTCTGCTGTAAGATTATTTTACCTTGTAAGATTATTTTACATGATATTATTTACATTTTACCTTTTGGAAATATAAACAGTCCACAAATAAGAACTCACGAAAAATGTTCTTTGTGACAAAAACCATAAAATTACATGCCCCACAAAATTTAGTGAATTCACAGTATTTGTATTTTATCATACAGGCAGTGAAGATATTAAAGATGAACACTTCTATCTGGATGGTTGTAAGATACTTCCCCTATGGTAAGAAAGTTTCACGCATTTTATTTTTCTAACTATTTATAATTATTCTGTCAACATTTCAAAATAAAACCAAAAGAACAACATGTTAAACCTTTCGAAGTATTTTGCCTAGGATAAGGTTAAAGGACTAAAGATTCTTATAAAGTAAGAGAAGGATCTAAGCAAATGTTACTTAGCCTGTCTCGTTTGTCAGCATGTTGTCTCATATGGCAACTGTACCCATGAAGCTGACTGGATTAAATTAAAGGATTAAGTTTTGCTGCTCATTCACTTATCCAATCATTATTGATAAAGTTATGTCCCTTGATTATCAGATTTTCTATGAAATTCCTGATTTTCACAAAATATTTTTTCATGAAATTTATAAATTGTTTTTATGATTGGCATGCAAGTGCGTGTATGTTATGTCAAAACACAGGTGAAGATTGATTTTCGCTGCAATCAATATATTACTGATTTAGTTATGTCCCCATTTGAGCAAATTTTCATGAAATTATTTCTTAGCCTAAGGATATGCCAGTGTGCCTCTTGAATGAAAGATTATATGCATGGATCAGTGATATTAATTTGTAAATGAGTAATGTTCACAGTCTGTTTGAATATTTTCTGTTTAACTTAATAAGAGTAAATTCTAAACCATTAATTTTTTAACAGTTTTGAAGTAAAAATGAAACTATACAAGTTATTTTCAATTACTGACATATTGTTAAAAAATTGATTCATTGTTACAATTATTTCATAAAGATCTTTTGCTTCCAGGTTATAACCAGACATATTATAAAGGTCGAAGTTCATCCGGTGCACCTGACAGCCCAACAGCTTACAGATAACAGTGCAATAACATTAACCTACTACACAATCTACATGTATACATATATCAGTGAAATAACATTTACATTTTGTAGCAATTGTATATTCCTCTTGAGAAGAGGTCATAGTTCAATGAAATATCTGAGATCATTTTCTTGATCTTGATTATGTTGCATACAAATAACAGAAGAATAAGAATTATAATCAGGAATAATGTATTTAACAGTGAATTAACAATTTTGGTATGAGAATAGTACTAGCTTACAGATGACATTTGAATAACAGTGGCAGATTGCACTCTATTCACAGATGACAGTAAGAAATTGCACATTCTATTTACAGATGACAGTAAGAAAATGCATATTCTATTCACATATGACAGTGACAAATTGCACATTCTCTTCACAGATGACAGTAAGAAATTGCACATTCTAATCATTCACTATTAAACAACAGTGACAGATTTGAAAAAAATCTACTCATTAATTACAGTTTAAAGTCAGTTACAAATTGCACACTCTACATGCTCACAGATGACATGAAATTGAAAAACAGTGTCAAATTGCATGTTTTAATCACAGATGACAGTTGAATGACAGTGACAAATTGCACATTCGTTTCACTCACAGATGACATGACATTGAAAAACAGTGTCAAATTGCATGTTTTAAGCACAGATGACAGTTGAATGACAGTGACAAATTGCACATTCGTTTCACTCACAGATTACATGACATTAAAAACAGTGTCAAATTGCATGTTTTAATAAATGATGACAGTTGAAAAACAGTGACAAATTGCACACTATACATACTTACAGATGACAAGACATTCAAATAACAATGACATATTGCATGTTCTATTCACAGATGACAGTAAAAGATTGCATATGATTGTCATTCACAGATGACAGTTGAATAACAGCAACAGGTTACACATTTCACTCACTCATACACAGATTACAACTAAGTGACACAGGACATATCATTTTACATGTAAATTAAAATATATAATAAATTTAATCTTCCAACATTCCATTTGTTATAGTAATAAACATATCAATCATCTTTTTCTATTCACATTTTATTTTAGATTTAGAGATACATTTTCTAATTATTTTATGTTAAAAAATTTTACGTTTGGCTCCAAAATTTCGTAGAGGCAAAGTACTTTTGTAAGAAAACGATTTTATGAAAATACTGTAAAGAATCTTAAGGTCATAAAAACTCATTTTGAAATAAAACTGTCTATGAGGAATAATTTTCTATGCTGTTAAAATTTATATTTTCTTCTCTACATACCGAGTATATTTTTTTATTCATGATAAATATAGTAATGTTTTCTTTAAATAGAATCTAGAAATGTTACAAAAGGATATTGATAATCCAGTCACTATTGGGAAATCATATTTCAAAGTATTTTTACTGATTTTGTCCAAGTATTTTTCGCTGATTTTGTCCTTATTGATCTTTGAAAGACAAAAAACTTATGTCTTGTTAAAGACTTCTATGTGTGATCTTTGTTTTCAAAGATGTTAATAAACATAGATTTAACTGCATATATTTTTTGCTTTTGTATACAGATCATATTTGTTTATTTGTATATTTAACTCATATACAGATTGTAAATTTTTGTATGTTTTAATTTGATATAAAAAATTTTGAAACATGATTCAATGCATTTTTCTTGTAGTTTTCAGTAGTCGTTTTTTTGCGAAGAAATTGGCTATTACTTAGTAATATGACCAAAAATGTGTTTAATCACCGTGAAAACTAGAGAAAAAAAAACTAACTAGTAAATTGTTTTAATTGATTTAGCTTATACTCTTGAGTTTAAACTGCAACTTTCGACTTGCCAATTCCATCCGTATGGATGCTTTTTTCTCAAGTATTGAGCTGACCTGATGCAGTCTGACCTAACATGATACTTAAAGTTCCTTATACTGATACTGAATTTTTACGTAAATTTAACTGGGTTAATGGTATTTTTAGAACCAACATATGATTACAGTGTTGTGTATAACTTTTGTAATATTTTCAACAAAATATATATTTTCAAGTAAATCATCATTGTTGTTAATTATCGTTAAAAAGTCCGCCCCCCACCACCCCCCCCCCAAAAAAAAAAAAAAGAAAAAAGAAAAGGATAAATATATTAAAAGTATTAAAACTATTGAGATTATAATCCCATAGAAATAAATATACATACATGTAACTACACAAAGGTATCAGTCTGCGCTGACTGATTAGTTGCCTTTCCCAGCTGTTCTGTTGAAACTTAAAATAAATATACTTACATGTAGATGTGCATTTATGCCTGAAACATTTTAAGTTGCCATATGACCTTGACTTTCATGTAACTTGAATGTCTCTTACGCCGGTGCTAAGAAGCGTGAGGAATATTTTACTTTATTTTATTTCTCCTGCACAAATTTAAAAGACTTATCTGCAGTTTTCAACTATTTAAAGTACATTTTTTATATATCATGTTCCAGTTTATAAACGAGGAGGTAAAGAAACTAGAACGCGCATGTCTTGGAAATACACCGACATGCCGTTTAAGTATGTGGATACGAAATGAATATGTCTGTTTACATTACGTTAAGATAACTTCTATGACTTTGAAATTCTTTGTTTTATACCATGTGTAACCGTAAGATAGTTTGTGACACTGTTATATGTCGCAACGCCGCGCTGTTTTAAGATGTTTATTCATTTTGAAAATTAAGTTAGCTGGTGGTTTTGACTTAAATAAACATTGAGTTTGTTTGTTACATTTTACGCCCTTATCCAACAGTATTTCAGTCATATAGGCGGGTAGTTTCCTAACCATCGTTCCTAGAGAGTTACACCAGTTAGACTACCTTCCTCCGTGCTAAACAACCAAAGCATCTCCAGGGGATCGAACCCAAACCAGAGAGGTAACTGGATTAGGAGTCATCGACTCTAACCCTTCGACCACGGAGGCGGTCCTTACATTGAGTAAATGTGTATAAATATATAAAAACTTTGGGACAAAAAGGAATGTCCCGAAAATGGGTTGGTCTAAAAGGCACATTTTAAAGAAATATTTTAAATATTGATAAAAACATTAGAAACAAATCATCTGGATATTCTATCAAAATTTTTCTTGAATTCATCTTTTAAAGTATATCGCCTTGTGTAATTTTGTAAATTTATAACTAGACTAGTGTTCATCTTCTTGCCCCTCGACGTTGTTGGTTCGAATCCCGCCAGGAACGTAGGAATCTTTCACGTGATGAAGCTATCCATCTAGCTTACGGAACGTCGGTGGTTCCACTCAGGTTCCTGTTCCAGAGCTCTTCCTCCACCGGTAAACCTGGAAAGTCACTATCTGATCTTACTGCGTTGGTGTGACGTTTTAATGTCTAGAAACTAATTAGGACTTTGCATGTCCTAATTAGAAGTTTAAAAACTTATTAGGAGAACTAAAATTCTTATTTGTTCTTTGTATAAAAACCTTATTAGAAGATACAAAGTTCAAAATAGGTTTATATTTTATATGAAAGTTTTGAAGCTCTTTATTAGGACTTACAAAGTCCTTATCTCAACTCCTAATATATCTTTATTTGTCCTAATTAGGATTTTAAATTACCTATTAAGAGTTACAAGGTTGTAATTAGGTCTATTTCTCCTAATTTTGAATAAAAATCAATAATTAGTTGTAACTAGTAGCTAGAAGTAACAAAGTTGTAATGAGTTATTTTATCTCTCCTTTTCATGATTTAGAAATATCTAAGTCCTATTTAGGGTTTTATAACTCCCAATTAAAAGCGAAAAAGTCCTTATTAGAAACTCCTAAACAGAGGAAATAAAGTCCTAATTCTCCTTATAACGAGTTAAACAGTACTTTAAGAACATTAAGAATTTGCAACAGACGGTTCCCGTTCCAAAGCATTTATGAAAACGTTGTTTTTTTTTGTTTTTTTTTAGAGATTTTCGACCATGCAACCATATACACGCATTTAGGACATCTTGTAAGGAAAGTGAAATTATTAATGGTCAGACTTTAAAAATATTCCATTTTCTTATAGTTATTGTTTCCACAGATATGACTGTCCTCAATCGGTTTATATACAACAATAATAACGCAAATCAAGCGGGGATCAGTTTTTTTCAGTTCGCTATGAAACTTTAAAAATATCAAACATAATAAAAAACATGTTATAAAAATGCATTTAATATGAGAGATATATTTCAACCCACTCTTTGCTTGAAAATATTAACCTGGGTGCATTTATAGCAAAGTAAGCATTTGATTTCTATATTCGACTTATCCTACCTGTTATGGAAAAGGTAATGTGATGGACTGCAAGAAAACAAAATAGATCAAACTTGAGCAGCGGACAATTTAGAAACTGATAAATTAAGACTGCAAGTCTAATCTTACCCTGCTGAAAATTTCAAATGAACTTTCAAGCTTCCATTTATTAAAGCTGTCTCTCAATCTGGGAATATCAAGGTAGAAATTTCGAAGTAAATTTGAATGTTTATTAAAACAATTAAGAGCCCAAAAGACTGGTAGGGAACAGTGTAAAGGTACAAAACTTCATTTGTTAGATCTATATTTCCTCAAGATAGAAAAGTTATCAATGCGAAAAACACTTTTTAATGACACCCAATAAATGTAATTTAAATTCAAACGAAGTCTATTATTTACATGAACAAATAAAGATGAACCCTACGTCTATGAACTCAACAGTGAGTGGAGGCTTACTGAGATTGCAGTGAATCTTGTTTTGTTCTGTAACTGCGTATAAATAAAGCCTTTTTCGATGCACCTTTTGCATTAACATTTTTCTGTCATGAGGAAAATACTGCAAATGATAGTTGAAAACCTCAGTTGTGGATTTAGGTACGATACGAATAAAAAAATCAACATAAGGGTGGGCTTGATTTTCTGTGAGAAGGTTAGCCACTTTCAGAACAATTTTCTAACGTTTCAGCTATATTTTTGCATTTTGTTTGTTTTACTTCCTTTATGTATTTTTGTGATATATTTTAAATACTATTCTCATGATATTGAAGCATTGCCTATGAATATTTTACAGCGGTTGTGAAATAATGGGTCATTTAAAAGTACAGAGTTTGCTATATTTAGTTACAGGGTTGGGAGATGGACAAACTCGACAAGGTAATGAATGCACATACATGAAGTAATTTGAATATATCTGATAGTTTAATAAATATGACGCATAACTCATTATCGATAGGAGCTCTATCACGTATATAAATAAATTTTGAAATTTCTAAAATCAAAAGTGAATTAAAGATAGAAGGGAATTTTCTTTATGCTTGGTAAGACACGTGTATATCTTCTTTCTTTTCCGTATTTATTTTCTCTTTTCTAATATTTTCAGCGATTTGTACAGACATTTTTAACCTTTGGAATTAAAAACGCGTACTTTAAGATCATTTATATTACACCTAAATATAAAAGGGTGATTGAAATTGGGTACTAATCAAAATGTTGAAATATGTGTTTCTTTTAAAATGTTTAATCGAACCTGCATTTCTGTACACCACCTTTGAAATGTATACATATTAAACAAATGTTTTGCCTGTTCAATGCTTATAATACAAAGATTCTTTGAGTAAAACATCGAAAAGATCTCCTACTAAGTGTATTCGGAGAGTTGGTGCAAAAATGATAGCGAAGGTAAATTATGGTGGCTGATTTGGAACGCTTTTGTGCGTCGTGTTGGCGCTAGCGACAACAGGACAAAGCGCCAAATGGCGTGTCTCGGACTTTCGTCTTGTCGTTCTTGGCGTTTGTCGCGATGTCACATTGTCGCTCGGTTCAAATCGAAGGCTAATAAGCCAAGCGACAGGGCGACATCTCGAAAACGCGCCGTACGACAACGAACCGTTTGTCGTGCTTCGCTAGAGACAGGACAACAAGACGACAGCGCGACAACGCGACGTTTGGCGCTTTGTAGTGTTGTCGCTAGCGAAAATACGAAAAGGCGATGCAGATATAGGTTGCATTGTCGCAATGCAACGCGCAATGTACCAGACCAGCCGCCATAGAAAATGGTGAAAGTGTCATTTTTACTCATTTAATCAAGAAATTATTGATATGGTCGTTTACAGATGACAAATGGCGAATTCAATACTATCCCGGCGGAGTTCGTCGGGGAGCTTTGTGATTCCGGAGTCGGAGAACGACCGCCGGGTATCTCTTACAGGCTATTCAAACATTGTGCTGGATGTTTCAACAAATCATCAAAATAATGATGAGGATAAAAATAAAGTCAGGTAAGGGAAAATTTCTAAGCATGTTGTTTTGTCGTCTGTACGCCCCGAATATTATTTTAGGAGTTTACAATAAACGATTTGCTCGTAAATTATAGAACATTGATATAATCTTCTATAAAACAATTCAATACTATTCATTAAAATTTACCATGCTGGAAAAAACAACAATAGCAAACCAACAAGCAAAGTATTTTGGCCTGAACATTTTGCTGATACATAACGTTCTTTGTCTAATGTTTTCGTTCACTATAATTTTAAGACAGGTTTAAACCATTTTCACTTTCAATATTTGTAAAGCACTCCCCTGATTCCGAATCAGTAACTAATTTAGATTTATTATTATTTCAGAGTAAGATTTGCTGACTTGCCTTCGGTGGGTTTGGACATGTCTGGATTCGGGGTGGACAAGACCGTGAAGAGGAAATACTCGGTAGCCTTGCAAACCCTTAAACCTTTCAGGCCTTCGTCGAAGTAAGCACGCCTATCTTCTCTTACACGTGATAGATAACTTAACCCTTTATGATCTAGTTTATTAGATTACACTCAAACATAGTTGACCGGTATTTGTTTTGCATGGAGTAAGAATAATTAATTTTTACATTTTTATGCAAGAACATGTGCTATGAATAAAATTGGTTTATATTTGATAGCGGCAGTACGACTGTATCACGTGTCTTTACAAATGTATAATTCTATTAAGATACTACATCATTAAAATCATCACGTTTCTGACTTTATGCCATTTAAATAAATAAATAAATAAATACGAAACTTCGAAAACTAGATGTCTGGTTTCAAATACTTCTAATTTGCTGACCTGTCAATTTAATATATTCAAGGATCAAAATAATTATGTATAATTCCTTTCTTTTATGTTAATAAACGTCAAAATTACTATTATTCTGAAGGTTACCCGCTAGCATTTAGGATTAAATACCGATTTTGAGCAATGGCAAGAAAGTATACTTGACGTTGACTGCTTAAAGGGAAAAACAGGCATTTGCACATGCGCACACACACGCTTTGCTGTCAAGGCAAGACGTTCAACATGAAAAATGATGTTATAGGCACATTTTTTTAGAAGCATATCAACATAAAAATTCACCCCTTAGTATTGAAATAATACACGAACGATACGTATATTAGTTCTTAACTGCTGTATTTTTGCAGAGATGGAAAACTACCGTTGAATAATGCTGGATTTTTCTCGTACATATTCCTGACATGGCTTTCTCCCCTGGTATGGAAAATGTATCGCCATCGGTCACAACCTGTAGCTGAAAGTGACATTTGGGAATGTTCGGACCAGGAAGGCGTGTCCGAAAACACTGAAAGGTTGTCTCATAATATTATGTTTTATTGTAGGATAGTATACCCATAATTTTATGTGGAAATTCACAAATTTTAGAATGTACAACTTTCCCTCACATCTTATAGAAATGTTATATTACGTGGTCGTAGTATCTATCTATTGTGACGGGTAGTGCACCATTAAGTTGTAACGGTAGAAGTTTGTTTGTACCCACAAACTCTCATTTGCCGAGTTCCGAATAACATCTACTTGCCAATTTTTTTTTAATTTACGAAGGTGCCTAACTTGTCTAAGTTTTCTTTTATTTAAACAATTCACGAGAAAATAAAAGATGAATATATTTGATTTTGTCCTGACCTATGTCTACCCTTAGCTTTTTTATTCTTAAAATTAGAATGATGCGACTTTGGAAGGAAGAACTAGAGAAGAATGGCGAGAAGAAGGCGTCATTTATGAATGTGTGGACAAAATTTATATTCACGAGGACTCTAATTTCATTATGTATAATCACTCTCTTTGCACTAGCCTCTTTTATCTCTTCTGTAAGTTTAGATACTTTATCTCATTCTAAATGCTAGATAAACAAATATTATATTGTAATAGCCCTTATTCTAGTTGAGATTTAATTAAGGCACGTATAATAGGCTGTATTAGAACAATCTCTTCAGAGAAACACTCGTAAGGAGACACAAGCATGTATTTTTGTTGTTGCTGAGACGGTCCGGTAGGCTTTGATTTAGGACAAATTGATACTGTTGTTGTATAAAGAAATTATTACTCTACAGAGATCTGCTTTGCTGACGTTACCATTATATTATAAGTCAGTTTTTCTCTGCTCTTTAGATTATCAAACATACGAGTCAGGAGTGTACTGAAAATTCTTTATATTTTTTGAAGAAAAATATGAAATACGAACTTTAATGTAACGTGCTGTGTGGCAACTGTAAAATGGTAAAATGTTGCTCTGTGTTCATCTCTGTGTTATTATATGATGATAATACGTCAACTTTTTTTACGAGGTACAAAAAATGTACGCATATCTTACAGATAGAAATATTTTGTTTGTGTCACTTTGAGGTATATTATCACACAAACATATCTTTTATTGTAGGCTATCCTTGTCAATCAAATAATTGGTTATCTGGAGTCACCTGGATACAACTTGGCGTTTGGTTTGGGCTTATCAGCAGCGATGTTTGGGTCTGAAATGATGAGGACTCTATCATTTTCTGCACTGATGATAGTAGGATCTCAGACAGGTAAGGGGATCCTCATGAAACAGTGGTTAAAATAGCTGTAACTTCACAATTTCAATGGGTACAAATCCCACCAGCGTTATTCGATCATTCATTTAGTGACTATCAAGCTGACTTAAGATAACAGTGGTTCTGCATATGTCTTTGCTAATGTACATATAACGTCTTTGATTATAACTTTAAACCTTTTCTTAGTTACTGTTCTCTTTGATATGTATGTTAGACCTTATAAGATTACTAGCGACCTGTTTGACCTCATAGAGATTTTTGTGCGAGCTCAAAAACCTCTCTGCGACTGAAATTGGTCGTGGGACCTAAATAAGATTACCTGCGACTGTCGAAGATCACCGATGATCGTCGTAAGATGTTATTGTTCGCGACCCGAGGTCACTGGTGATCGTCAACTGGTCTTTAGTGGTCGTAAGCTCTAATGCGACTGGGGCTTTAATAGATCTAACATTTAAAACTAATAAACGGACTTGTTGGCTGAAAATCAGACCTAATTAATCAGTGAATAGTTAAATATTTTAACATGATATGTCAATGATAATTTTTTGATTTTATTTAAACACGTCAATGTAATTATTGGAGATGCACTTTTCTTTGAGCAAGGACATGTAAGGAGTTCTTCTTTAACAGTACACAATTGTCGACGCAAGAAAATTACATGACTTTATATATCCGCGCAGTCTGATCAGGATCCATGCTGTTCGCTGTCAGTTCCTCCACTTGTAATAGAGTTCGTAAGCGAACAGCATGGATCCTGATCAGACTGCGCGGATGCGCAGGCTGGTCAGGATCCATGCTGGTCGCAAACACACTATGTTGGTTTATTCGTGACGCGGCTCATATGTTTTTTTATCTTATGTACAGATGGATTCAAAATCACTGTTGTCTAGGTGACATAACTTGAAATCATTTAAGTATGATAAAATGTAGTCTTTCGTTATTGCGCTTTTGCCATACTTAAAATGCGCATGCGCGAAATGTAACATCCGTTACTATTGAAAATTCGTATTGTAAAAAGATCTATAGGTAATATTACAACGAACCAGTTTTTTTTGGCATAGGAAAATCGTGTCTAAGTTTTTTATGCTCGTCAATTGATGCAACACACTGAACATATTAAATTATTCTAAAAAAGACAGTGATGCAAAATATAGATTTGTTGTAGGACGAAACATAAATTGTTCTACAATGTAAGTCTAGTAACCTTGTCATAAGTTTAGATATTTATTTTATTATTATTTAATGGATCTTTTTTTCTAGGTACGAGGTTCCGGTCTGGATTTATGGGCATTATGTATGATAAGCTCTTGAAAATGCGGGTCGTGAAAGGGAAGACCAACGCTGAGGTAAAGTAAAACAATTGATTCAGGATGAAAAAAAAAAATAAGTTGTTAAAACAACAACAACAACAACAACAACAAACATAAAATTAAGAAAAAGGCAAATTCTAACCAGAACATTCAATTATTCAATTGTCGGATATTTGTTTAACACATTTGTCATTGTCTACCGGTACCGTTGGCCTAGTAGTAAAGGCGTCTGCCTTCGGTTCGGATGGTCGAAGGTTCGAGCCCCACGCGGAGTGTTAATTGATGGATGAATGTTTCTCGCGGGACACGTTCCGAAATGGCCGCTTTGTGACCCGCGAGGTAGTCAAAATTATTGATTTCTATCCGCCTGGCATAGTGGTAGGAGTTGGTAGGTACATGGTATGCAAGCAAAAGGTGTCTCATAAGTCAGATATGGCTGGGCTATGTCAGTAGGGGTGACACGATTTGAAACACGATTTTGTTATAATTGTAATTAGTTTGAACGACAATGATTATCTAACCTCTGCTCCTGTTTAAAATGAATACTTTATGAGAACCAATTAAAGATTTTTGCATATTCATGCTCTTTTTTTTCCTTCAGATTATAAATGTGTTTAGTGTAGATTCGTACAGAGTCCACATGGCAACCTGGTTATCGCCATTTCTAATTTCTATTCCAATCTACCTCATTATTGCTACAATCTATTGCTACACATTGATCGGATTCTGGTGCTTTGTCTCCATTGGAACATTTGTCGTCTGCTACATTGCCCAGGTAGGTGTGGTAGATAGTTTGTCACGCATTTATTTTATGGTATGGTTTATATAATAAATCTGATGCTCAAATGAAGATTTATCAATATTGTAAGTTTCAAAAAGCATTTTACCGGATTTAACATTTAATGTAAATAAAGGAATGTAATTAGAAATTTACTTTCGTTAAAGTCTTAACTAGTTTTTTTTCCGGAATAAAAATGAATGCATTAATTTCAATTATTATGTATATAAACATTTGCTGTACAATTTAACATATTCTTGGATGTTTTGAAATTGTTTGAGAAGAATAATTATATACATATATAAAAAAATTATTTACCTGTATTGTTACATTCTCAATTTCAACAGAAAGGCTCTTAAAAGCTTTATATAGGAGACGATTAAATAGAAATTAAAAGCTTCTTAGGTACAAATACCTAAATGATTGAAATTTATCATATGAATTAGATATTTCAAAAGAAAAGAAATGTCAAACTACTCAGTTTGATTTCTTTGAACGAATATGCTTTTGCTATTTATTTCCATGGGCATGTTTCTCTAATACATTGTAATAATTTTATATCTGTAATACTTTTTTTGTAACATGTTTCTCTTTTTAAGTATTTCTTGTTTTACCGATTAATCCTCAAGTCTTCAAAACACATAAGACGGTTATTCTTGCTTGAAATCCGGTAAAAGTAAACAAACGACTGTCTTTATAACAATTTTCTTTGGATTGGTTGAACGAATCATATTAGTTAATTACATATTTTGATAAGAGATAATACGACATTTAAGACTCTCAATAAGAAAATGAAAAAAAAAACTCACGCATGATTGGTCTACATTCATAAAATTGTTTCAGACTCTTCTCACAAGATTCATCGCGTCGTTGAGAAGAATATGTGCCCAGTACACAGACCTAAGAGTAAGAAGAATGGGAGAGATCATAAACAGCATGAAATTTATTAAGATGTATGCCTGGGAGAAACCTTTCAAGGACACCATCATAGGTATATATAGATTACATCTTATTTTGTTGCGGAATCATGATTTTAGTCATTAACAACACGCCAGCACTACCACCATCACCAATATCATCAATAACATTATCAACAACAACAATTACATCATCATCACCATACTATCACTTACACAGCTAACAACAACAACAGCAGCAGCAGCAGCAGCAGCGGTGGTGACAACAATAATATCATCATCATCATCACCATCATCATCATCATCATCACCACCATCATCATCACCATCATCATCATCACCATCATCATAAACAACAACAACAATGTTGTTCAACTTTTTAGCAACCTTTTTTCCAGGAAAAAACAAGAAGAACGACCTTTCAAAAAGACCAAGCAATTCAGACCTGCATATATCATAAACAATAAATCGAAAACTTGCAAAGTGATGTAAAATAATATAAACATCGTTATCAATGACTGGAGCATTAATGTCTAATGTTTAAGGTAGCTCGCTACTTTCCGACCGAAATTTGACAACATCTCAGATCTTGATGATTTTTGTATGCAAACATATAGATATGTGAGCTTTACTTCTGCAGTATCATTTTATAAATAAACAGCGTTACTATGACGTCAAAGCGCCCTCTATCGGTGGCGGCGAAATTGCGTCTTTTTCTCAGTAAACCAATCTGTTCTTATCAATTTTCATCCGATTTCCTTCGTTTTAATTTTATAGTGTTCAGTAAATGTATGTCTTTGTAATGATGTCTTTCTTTAACATTTGCTTAATAGTCTGCGATTCTACGTCATTTTTCTCTACATTCTGACGTCCATATCTGATGCAAATACCGCGCGATATCGCAATAAAGATTGTGTAATAAAAAAAAATTCAACACGGTGAACTTTGCTATAATTTTTCGAGCGTGTAGCGAGAAAGTGAAGGAAAATATTTATGCAATAAAAATATAGGGTCATCGCGTAAGATATTTTGCTATTACTGTTTTAAAATAAAATAAAGGGAATGTAACGTAATGGTTTTGGTGGCGTTCATAGACGTTGGAGTTCAAAGAATAATACCAAATAACAATTTTCTTACGTCAACCATTACGATTGTAAGTATAAACAACACAGGAACTTGATGAAATGTATATTTTGTAAATTGTTGATTATTTTCTCATTGAAAACATGCGCTAGATCAGCAAATTTACAATGTTTAATCGTAAATACGTTTCTAATTTGCAGGACGCAGTCTCAAACATCTTTTAATTTTTATTTTATATTTTGATGTTTGTAATGAAAGAGTGAAAAGTGTTATATTATTATATTAATTAACTAGTTTCAGCGCAAAAAAATAAGATTCACATATCGCTGTATGAATGAAGTAAGAATATTAGGTCGCTTAGCTTATACCCGTTAGAATATTTATCTTAAGTTACATTCAGCTTTTAAACACTTTCATAAAATCACATACAGTCAGACGAGCCTCGGTGTCAAAACACATCGTAAAAATACAATTAAAATAGATATGCATACAAATGGGCCGAAATAAGTGATAAATTAAATTCAGAAATAATATTCAAATATGTTAAGAATATCTAAAAACAAACTGTACAAGAAACAAAAACATTTATTTTTGCTTACCATTTTTAAGTATGTGCAATACATAGATTATATAATTATAATGTAATTAAAATGTCATGATTAGAAAATGACAAACTATAAAACTTTTTGGAACTCGGTTTTACTTACCGCTTTTTCATAACAGTATAACAAAGCGGCCCTCAAAATATTATTTATTTCTAAAGGGCTCCACTACATTTTACCTCTGTAGAGCAACCGCTCCAGGCAACAAAGGGCATTTCTCTGTAGATGTTATCCTGTTTATTTTAATTAAATACAAAATATAATTATTAAATAACTTTTGCAACTTTTGTTACCACTGAATACGAATTATGTATTATGTTGACGTTATCGTGTTCATTTTTTTAATACAATACAGTTTGCTTTAAAAAAAAAATGAAAAAAAAAAAACAAAAACGAAAAAACACACCAAAAACCCGTGTTTATGATGTAAACAATAAAGTGGACTTCTGCCTTATTAAGGGAGATCATAATCAGGTTTTTTACTTTGAATATTCTTCTGTTGCCACGGTGTAATCGGTTAAGTGGTCTTACGCTGAATTCGGAAGGCATGGATTCGAGACACGATTGCGTAGTGTACTAATAGATTATCCTTTAAAATTGTTTACTGTGTATGAAATGTTTCAAGGTCCACCTCGGACTCCTGTCATTTATTTCCGTAGAGAAGTTGATACTGTGAGAAACACTGGTTTTGTTAAATTCCCTCAGCTATAATTGAAATACTGTTGAAAGCGGCGTTAAACCCAATATTAAAAAATAAGAAGATATAAAACATAAAATGCATAGTTCATTTCTTTCATAGGCTCTACATAGCACTGTATTATGTGCAGACAAAAACGAGCTTCTCCGAAAACCATATTCACACAAATTGAGGATCCTACATGATCGTCTTCTGTATTAATTTTAATATGCAAAATTATCCGCTTATGAACATACAAAATAAATCAACGGATCTTTCGCCTCGAATCGAGAAATGATCGCGGCTTCAGGTCGCCTCAAAGATGCGCTAGTAAACGCATACCGCGAGTCAGCGAGTTTTAAATAAATAAGAATATCTGTAATTATGTGAAATGCGTGAGAAATTCAAGCCATAGCACGAGAACGTGATTCCTCTTTTAAATCTGAGTCTCGCGCTTAGTGCAGGGATATTATTTACTAGTATTTAGCTGCGAGAGAAAATAGAATAACTGATGGCTGTTAATAAATGAGCCGTGTCACGGCAAAACCAACATACTTTTCGCTTTTAAACATTTTAATAAGTAGAGAAACTGATAGCGAACAGAATGGATACTGATCAGACCACGCGGATGCGCAGGCTTGTCTGGATCCATGCTGGTCGCAAACGCACTTTAATAATAATAATAATAATAAAGACTTTATTTAAAGAGGCAACATAGTTAGGCATGCCCAGTCTTCCCTATGAGCCTCTATCAAATATACAATGTACATAGTATGAACATTTACAACAAAACGTATGATAAACAACAACAGAAATAACATTGTTACAAATAGTTAAGAAACATTTAAAATGAAAATCTAGAGGGAAAAAAAAAGAAAAAAAAGGACATTCAAAAAGCATAGTATAGACAATGAAAGTAAAATATACATTTCTCATTTTATAATACAACTTGATGGGTTTTATTCCCACCAGAGAACCACCATTTCAGATAATTATTTTTGAATGACTGTAAATTTGTAGAGTTTCTTATATCTAAGGGAAGAGAATTCCAAAGTTTTGAGCCTGAATATGATAGGGATTTTCTGCAGAACTCAAGTCTAGGTTTCGGGATTTGAAGTAGTTTTTGTTCATATGATCTTAAATGTGTATTTTCTGTGTAAGTAAAAAGGTTTTGCATATAATCAGGGAGACTTTGTTGGTTTTGTCGTGACGCGGCTCAAATAAATTTTTATACGAGTAGAAAAGTTTTAAAATAAATGTCTGCTAGGTTTATATAATTAAGACTACCAGTGAATCATGACTTACGTACAAATCGTTGTTACTTCGAGTTGATCATACATTTTTAAAACGTAAATTTGATTCATTTCCTACTAACTGATATATACAATTCGAAAATGTTACATACGTATGATAACATGGAAGTTTATGTAGTACCGAGATACACATAACATGATGACACTGCGACTGCACCAGCCTTTTTATTCTTTTTTTCTGACATTCTTTGCAAAATTTATGTTTGTATTATTTCCACTTAAGTGGCCTTTTAATTATATCTTTCAATATTCTGAATTGTCCTTCAGTCCTCGAGGTATTTATAACCATTCGTTTCAGTTTTTTAGAGATTGATACAAACTTTTGCAGACAGTCATACCCTGATTTGTTGTACATGTATATAATTGAAGTTATTTATCGAAATGCGGACACCTGACAGGACTTTTAAAAGAACATTTTAAGGAATATGTCTAAATACAATTGTTGTTGATGGTTTTCACACATTTTAATTCCAGTCAGTATACAATTTATCGGAAAAGTCGTGACGATTTCCTTGAAAAAAAAAATTTGACGTCACCAAAATCATTACGTTTTACTCATCCTTTATCTTATATTAAAACAGTAATAGCAAAATATCTTACGCGTTGACCCTATATTTTTATTGCATAAATATTTTCTTTCATGACTTCACTACATGTTAAAAAAATTATAGCAAAATTCACCGTGTTGATTTTTTGTTATTTTACAATCTTTATTGCGATATCGCGCGATATTTGTATCATAAATGGACGTCAGAATGTAGAGAAAAATGACATAGAATCGCAGAGTATTAAGCAAATGTTAAAGAAAGACATTATTTCAAAGACATACATTTACTGAACATTATAAAATTAAAACGAAGGAAATCGGATGAAAATTAATAAGAACAGACCGGTTTATTGATAAAAAAGACGCAATTTCGCCGCCACCGATAGAGGGCGCTTTGACGTCATAGTAACGCTGTTTATATTTAAAATAATGCTGCATAAGTAAAGCTTACATATCTATATTTATGTATACCAAAAATCATCAAGATCTGAGATGTTGTCAAATTTCGGTCGGAAAGTAGCGAGCTACCTTAAATAAAGCAGTAAAACTGTTATCAAATATACAGTAAATAACGAGTTTTATTTATAGATGTACGAAAGACGGAACAGAAGTATTTGTTGTATTCTGCCTTGTTATATGCAGTGGTCAGCTCAATAATTCCTGTTACACCAACTATAGCCTCAGTTATAACAATTACAGTCTATACTGCCGCCGGGAATACCCTCACTGCCTCTACAGTAAGTAGCTTTTGTTTCAGGCCCATTATGCCTCAGAAATGTTGTCACTTTTATTTCTCAAAAACTTTTTATTTTTGATATCTTATTTCACCTTTCTAAAAAAATCTTATTTCACCTTTCTAAAAAATAAACATGTTTGTGCTACTTTTGTTGTTTTTTGGCAATTGGTATAATCATAGTGAAATAGTATTTGAATGAAAGTCAAAATACTACTTTGTTTACATTTTTGTTACCTTTGCGACACATTACTGCATGCTTATCCCTAATTTCTCCAGTTGAGTAAATCTAAAATGCTCTAAATTCATAACAAAGCTTTATTAAAGAAATATTTGACATTTCTAAAGAATTAAAAAAATATAGATTTCTGAGGCATAATGTGTTTTTAACATCAATTGATGCAGCATCCAAAATAACTCAATAGACGACAATTTAAAACAAAATTTAAGTATCTTCATAAAATATTTGAAGAAACAAGTAGATACAAATTTTCATTGTATCGAATTTTAACGTAGGTATGAATTAGTTCCGAAAATGACGGAGTTTGTTATAAATTTTGCATTTAAGTATTGGTCATTTTGAAATATACAATATAAGTAAAAAAGTGACTGTTTAAGACAGCCATTCTCACAAGCACCGAATAGTAACACCATGATAATATTCCTCTGAAAATGTTTTGAAACTGTTTCTCGAAATCCGTAATATCATATTTGTCTACCAGAGCTTACAAATTACAATTATGTACAATTATGCATATCAAAGTTTAATCAATGATTATTGTCTGTCTGTAGTGAATTTATTGTTAGCCTTATGCTTTACATCAAAATTCTTATAATACATTTTATGCATTATTATTACATTATCTTGCGTTTGAATTTAACATTTCGTTATTATTATGTTTATTCTTACTTTACAAAACCTTTGGACTGTTGAGTGCCGCAAATGTTTCTGCCTAAGACCCCAAGACTTTGATGCAATAAAAATGAAAATTGTTTCAGGCCTTCGCTATTATCGGGACGATGTCATTTTTGAAGACGATTGTTGCCATTATACCACAGTCATTACGAGCATACGGGGAGGCTAAAGTTAGTTTTGCAAGATTAAAGGTATATACAAACACTTTCCTTGTTCTATATTGTACCATCAAGTTTAGTTAATATTACTGGAATTATGATCGGATAGAATGAAAGTGCATACATGTAGTATCATACTTAGTAGAAATACAGGGAAAATTACCATTTGTTGAATTTTCGAAAAAGGGTGTAACGTGACATTAATAAAGAATGAGACATTTTCCAAGCATGCAAATCTAAAAACGTCATTATTGTATACCCGAGCATGTCAGTTGAATTAAAGGCTGATTTGAAAGTATCAAGAAAAGATTACTCTTAAAGTATTATTTCGTACTTGTAAGTGTGTTACTTCCCTTTACTTGTTAGTTTTATTATCCATATGCATCTCTGATACCAGCATATGGTTGGTAACTTGAATATAAAACATAACAATCGTACACCTTATATTTGACCGGTTTTAACAGAGAAAGTCTATCATGTACATATGTAATCTTCGAAGCATTGCTGTCTGTAAATTTACAAATAAATATTTGTGTTTCGAGTTCTCTTCACATCAAAAACTTGTTTTCAAACTGTGCATGATAAGTTTTTTTCTCTAGACATATGCATTTGCGTAGCATGTAGACGCCTATGATTAAAAAGTACTTTGACAGCAGACTTCTTCCTGTTTACAAAGAACATCCAGTCGTGTATACACAGCATTAAAAAATTATCCGAAATCAAAAGAATCTTAAATCTTAGAGGAATATCTTTTCTTGATATTATAACAATTGTCACTGTGCTACTATTATTACTAAACTCCATTGAACCTCATTATACAGTATTTTTTCGGCATTATTCGTCGAATGTTTCTACTGCTAAACGTCTTAAATAGTTATGCCTTTCATTTTAAAGCAATATATTTATAACTTAAATGATATTTATTATTGTGTAATGAAATTTGGGCGTTCATGGCCATGATCGTTGACTTCCAACCACTTGTCCCTCACCACTGTGGGTTCGGATCCCGACAGGGAGTTTGGATAATTTCATGTCAGGAAGCTATCCAGCTAGCTTACGGAATGTTGGTGGTTCTACTCAGGTGCCCATTCGTGCTTTAAATAATGCACGGAAGGGCACCTGAGGTATTCCTCCATCAGTAAAGCTGGAACGTCGCCATATGACCTGTGTCGGTGTGACGTAAAACCCAATCTAAAGTTTGATGATATGTTAAATCCATGATACCGAATATTGCTTTGTTAATATACAACAGCTATTGTAATATTTGTTTCAAATTTATGTTATCTTATTCATTTGTTAAACAATATTCAGCGTCTTTTGTTGATGGAAGAGTACATACCCCCTTCAAATGAAGTGTATGACAAGGAGAATGTTGTGGAGATAAAAGCTGCCAACTTCATATGGGATAATATATTAGATCAGAGCAGTCAAGTAAATGTAGATAAATTTGCTAAAAGATCAAGTGGTGAGTGCTTATCTATCTTTTATTGTTATTTTATATTGATGTGATAGGCTTGAAATGATAATTCCATGATTTGTTCATGAAAAATAGAAGACCGAGTGTGATTTTTAGCTATTTTATTTTATTTTGTTTGCTATAAGGGAGCGATCTTGCGTTTCAAGAATGTTTAAACTAACAGTGTTGCCTCTGTCTAGATCTTAGTATTGTTTTATTTTTTAGTTTGCTATAATAATACTTTAATCACCTTTTGTGTTGTTGATTGAATAACGCTCAAGCCGGTGCTAGGGGGCTTGAGAGATGTTGATCATAAGAGGTACAGATCTCTCCATTTACCTCTTATGAATTGTCCCATAAAACCGAGTCTGGAATTTTTCAATCTTTTTTTGTTATAGGATCTCACTTTCCTATTTCGTTGATTTACCCTTTTTTATACTTCGATTGATGAGTGCACCTTCTAAAAAACTAAGCCCCGTTAATGGAAGTAATGAATAGAATATTATTTTTAGTCAAAATCCTTTACCTAATGTTTTGTTGACTTTCATGACCAAAGTATTTGCATGAAAATGCAATAACTTGAATTAGCACTGTTAAATTTGAATCGTTTTTGGTGGATTTTACAAAATTTGGCAATTAAATAACACACTAAATGAGCATATTACATTTCACTTCACACATTGCTCCTTTTCTGAATTTTTACATTTTATCTCCTTATACTGCTGGAAAGTTTGTTAATTATTACTCAAGAAATGTATTTATTTATGACTTACTTTTTCAGTTACAAGTCTTGATAGTTCAAGGAGAGAAAGTATTAGCAATTTTGCGTTATCTGATATAAATTTTGAAGTAAAACAGGTAAAAGTTTATATAAATCATCTTTTATGAGAAGAAAGATACTAAAGTTGCATAGATATAAACTGACCTTCTTTTATAATCATAATTAAATAATAATAATAACAACTTTATCTTTAGAAGATATAAGAGTACATTATAAACATACGATTTATATCCAATATAGCCTTTTATCTATAAAATATCTACATATATAAACAACAATAAACATATAACTTTACGACAAACACTCTGATATCAATACATATCATTTTTACAGAAAATATCAATTTATAAAAATTAGTACTGAACTACATACGAATATGCAATCATCCATCAATGTTGACTAAAGTTGTTTTTTGTGTAGAGATCTATATGTAATTTCAATAAAAATCCTTGTGTTAACTGATGAGTGTTGAAAAGTATGTACTGTTAAAGGTGTCGTTACTTGGAATGTGGAAATGTATATGTATGCAGTTTTGCTGTAATTTTAGGGAAAATTGGTAGGTATTTGTGGGTCAGTTGGTTCAGGAAAGTCATCTCTAATGTCAGCAGTTATGGGAAGGGTAAGATATTTTATACATCTGTGACATAACTCACTTGTTACATAGTACACATGTAACATAATTCACCTATGACATAACATCACATGGTCAAACATGGACAATTATGTTTAACTGATTTTTCATTTGTGACAAAACATAGAAATGCTGGTCGGTTAAAATGTACATGTATATATATTCTTTATTTGAGTCTCATCCATACATAACAACATAAAACAATTCAATGACATAATTATACAAAGTAAAAGTTATTTATGTACGGCCATTCTTATCAGAATTACAAGAGACTATGAAATTTTAATCTAATGGAAGGGAGGCAACTCTGCAAGAATGTCCAATGTCACTTACAGAGTTACCTCTCTTCTCATTCCATGTTCATATGCACATTACAATTTAAAATTGCTAAAATAAAAAACTATTGCTAATCTTGTTCTACAAAACTTAAAGTGTTTCTGGTATTATTGCTTTACAGTAAAAATCCTTAAAATGTTCTCTTCCTTAAACCCGTAAAATTACACTGAATAGCAATAGATTCTTAAACTATAAAATCATGAAAATTATTTCGCATCAATGTATGTGTCATTTATATTTACATCATTAGATATATTTATCATTGCCACGCTTTATATGGCCAGTATTTCAATTTGGACAAAACCATTTAACATTTTAGGGGACAATTTCACATGTACCAAATAACTAACACTGTAGACGGATGTCCTGTTTTATCTTGGTCTGTACTGGATATTCTCATTTATTTTTAAATTTAACACAAATGAATTACAATGTATGAATGAAAATATTCATAACTTTTAGAACCATGTTGATGAAGTTTCCAACCTGAAATCAGCAATATTTGTAAATAATACTGAAATTCATTTTAGATGTTACTACAGAAAGGTCATCTAGCTGTAAATGGAGACGTAGCATATGTAGCTCAACAAGCTTGGATATTCAATGCCACTTTGAAGGAAAATATCTTGTTTGGCCAGCCATATGATAAAGAAAGGTTTCAGAACTTTTTACAAACAATTGTAATACGTTGTATGATATGCATATGACAAACTGTCTTTGCTTTAGTTACTTATGTGTTAAATTTATTCAAGACATAATTTATTCAAGACATACTTGAATATAGGTGGCAATAAGCACACAGACGCATCTTCTTGTTTTTTAAATTTCTTCTTTAAAGGTAAAATTTTAAGAGGGAGAAACATTTAGCTATATATAGAAGCATTCGTGCAGCACAAACATAATTAAGCAACTGAATTTGATTGCTAAATTGCAAAGGTGATTGATCTTATGTTTAATGTATTGAATCGAAAGTCGGATGTTAGCCAAATTTAGACCGTATGAGATGTACACACTCGAAGTCTTTGGGCTATAATTTTACAGTGCGGTTTCTGATACTTGATACAACTTTCTTATGTAGTCACTGTGTCTAAATATTCAATAGTATATTCATTCATAACTATATAAATATAAAAATGATGAAATTGATAGTTATTCGCTCAAAACTTTCAAAAGGTATTTCATATCAAAACAAGCCCAAGACACTGTCAGATTAGGTGTCAGTGGCCTCGCTGTGGGTTAGAATCCCGACAGGGACGTTGAATTCCTTCATGTGAGGTAGCTATCCAGCTAGCCTACGGAACGTCGGTGGTTCTACTCAGGTGCCCATTAGTGCCTAAAATAATGTACAGAAGGGCATCTGAGGTCTTCTTTCACCACTTAAGCTTGAACGTCGCCATATGACTTTTACGTAAAACACAAACAAGCAAACAAACAAATAACTTTTGAATTAAAATACTGATACAAATACCAGGACTCAATGGTACTAGGAAGTGATTCATTTGTTAAAAAAATGCTCCTTCTAGCCCTCAGACGTATTGACTGCTTTAACTTAATCTTCAATTCTATACATGTTTTTAAATTGCAGATATGAAAAAGTTATCAGCTGTTGTGGACTAGAAACAGATCTTAGGCTTCTATCTGATGGAGATGAAACGGAGGTAATATATCATTTAAACCAATCTCTTTTACAAGGCCATTTTCATATACATACTTTTAAGCCACATTAACATATGTTTATGATATTTCAAATGCATATAGTAGAATAAATTATCAAAAACAGTTGTTTCTGAAGTGAATATAAAGTTTAATCTTGTGTAATGGGTGATATTCTTAACTGTTTTGTTTCTGTCGAATATAGATTGGTGAACGTGGAGCTAATCTTAGTGGTGGACAAAAACAACGTGTAAATTTAGCACGTGCAGTGTACAGTCAAAGTGACATCTTTATTCTAGATGACCCTTTATCAGCTTTAGATGTAAAAGTTGGAAAACAAATATTTCATACATGTATTAAAGGTGTTCTGAAAGAGAAGACAGTTCTACTAGTAACACATCAATTACAGGTACACATTGGTAAAACCGTGCAGATAATTATTTATATGAAATTTGAAAATATTATGAAGGACTCGTCAAATTGTTACTTCAAACGATACCTGTTTATGATATTCTATGTTAAATAATAAGCTGTTTTAATACCTTTTTACTTCTGCTCAAGGCATAAGAGAAGGCTTTAAATAAGAAGTATCTATTTCATAACAGAACATCTACTTTTGCAGGCGTTTTAAGGTTTTGAACAACATTCTACTCATTCAAATTATCTTTTGCTGTTAATTTTTTTGTTGTTTTTCAATATTTGTTAATTTCATAAGAAGAGGAAAAAGATGTTGCTGAAATATACGAAATCCGTTGCCATTTTAAGATATTTTGACACGACGCATTACAATTATGTAATTAAGTTACAGTTTTGTCTGCATGAAACAAGCATATTGCTTTTACAATTTCATTATACAGTATTAATAATACATGTATATTTTCATTTTTAGTATCTAAAACATTGCGATGAGGTTATAGTAATGGAAGAAGGTTGTATCGAGGAAAAGGGTCAACACCACGAGCTCCTAGCTTCAAATGGCTTGTACACGAGTATGTTTAAAATATTTGACAAGACAACAATGAAAGTTAGAAAACCCGAGAGTAAGTTTGTTTGTTTCGTCGATCGAATATTAATTAGCAAAATCACTGTAAACGTCTTATGGCGATTTTCAAGATTTTTCTGGTTGTTGAAGACCGGCACCTGAACAGAACCAACAACATGGCATACCTTTCTAACTAACCGAGAGTCACACGCAAAGGAAACATGCCGTCAGGATAAAAAACTGGATACAAAGTGATCCCTTGGAAGCATTAATGACAACACAATTACATGCAAATTGCAGACTCAGTTTGATTGAGTCTGTACATGAGTGATATTGAATGATTGCAACATCCCTCACGCCCCCTAGCACCGGCAAGATAGTTTAACTAAGTGGTGGTGTTTAATATTGTACAACCAAGAACAATATTAAGAGTAAAAAAAAGTTATTGTGACTATCACTTGTGTTGAAAGTTAAGAGCGTATTTTGAGATATATGCAGGTACAACTAGAGATACTATTATCGTTAATGTCACAAGTCTTTTTTTGTATTTAATTTATATAAATCTCAGCTTTATTTTGTACTTTTGTTCACGCATTTGTTTTCGTTTGTTTGACATAAATCATACCGCATATCAGCATTTGTAACTTATTAGTGTTTGCTTTAAATAATGATAAATAGATTCAGGCGACGGGGAACCTGGGTCATACATCAAGAGTACACCAATTATAGCAACAAATAAAAAACCTGAAGAAAATGGGCTTAAGAAAAACGGGATATTGAAATCATCTAAGAAAAAAAGTAAAGGTTTGTCAATGCATCATTTCAACATAATTAAAATAGTATATTATTAAATAAAAAACAAATATTTATTTGCACAATCTTAAGAACATATGCTAACATTCTGTTTAATGTAATGAACTTGATGAATTGATGTGAAAGATCTTGTATAAACAGAATTCTGAATATTTCTAAATGATATGTCTTGATGATTAGAATCAAAACTAAAAGACTAAATGATGAAACCCAGCACTCTAGCATTGATTCTTTAATTAAATTTCAAAAATCTTTTTAATGATATTTTTTATATAGTGCTTAATATTTCCGCTTTCGATCTAAATAAATTGAAACCTCTTATTTCTTTTTTTAAATGGTTTGATTTGAAAGGAAAGCTTGTATTGGCTGAGGAGGCAGCAATTGGTGACATCGGGTTTGGGACATACTTGGCATACATTCGTGCTGCAGGGGGTTGGTTGGTGGCTTTCCTTGTGATCTTGTCATTCTTTATATCAGCTGGGTCACTCGTATTTAGTGATTGGTGGCTAAGTCAATGGATAACATCACTTACAACTGTACGTCCTCACTTACCTTTATCTATATGATATATTATTAATTATCTTTCATAAAACACATAACACCCATAAGTACTGCTTTAAATACAAATTTAAATAAATGAATTATCATTTTAACTAGATTAATGTCTTTTTACTAACCATAAGAAAACAATATTAAGTAAGTTGTAATATTTTTCAGAGCTCTGGCAATGAAAGTGACAGAGCAAGTGATAATACCACGTTAATGACATCAACAGCTGTTTCAACTTCTTCCATATTATTGTCTAACTCTAGCAAAAGTGTATACCTAGCAGATATGTCAAGCGATCCGATCAGTTATGACACTTACTTTTCTGTATATATTGCCTCCTTGGCCGGCATCATATTTCTACAGCTCTTCAAAAGTTTCATCGCAGCAAAGGTGAACACTTTGTATAAATCGTATTCTTAACTTAAAAATAAAATGTTATACTTCTATCGTATGTACAAAGTCCGATATAACATGCATATATCTTGAGCTTCGGGACCTTAAAGCTGCTCGCCTCCAGATGAGTTAAAACATTTCAAGAAAACCAATATTGAGAATAGTGCACTTAACTTTGAAGAAAAGTTAAAACAGTCAAGATCCAAGCTATATTTTACATGTTATGTAGGTACAAGACTGGTTTTGCAGTATTTTATCACCATATTTCTACTGCGTTAGTAACGCAGTAAGGGCTGTTTTTGCATATGCTGAACACATTTTTGGTAATTTTCGATGATTGTAAGTGCCACTTGCAATATCCACCTTACTTTGTTTACCTCACATTATTTTACTTTTAAATATATTTCTAAAATATTTCATGAAAATTAACATGAATCTGGAGGCGTGCAGCTTTAACAAAGAACAACTCCCTGGTCATTTTCAGGTAAATTTGGTCTTATCCGAGCGAACAACTAATTAACATTGACTCACACTTTTAACACATTACTTATAAGCATATATAAGATTGCAATTTGCAAAACAAGTGACCGTTACATGCATGTATGTTTTAGAGACGCGGAAATGAATGGAATATTGAAACGTTTTATTAAATACCTGTGCATATTTGCTTCATACAGAAAGTCAGTATAAAGTATGTATCTGTTATCCGGAATGCCGTAACTTATGTGCTGGACTCTTCTGGTGTGCTTCATGGTATATATGCCTTGTTAGAACACTAAAGCCTAAATAAGATACCATATATTATCGTTTTTATTTCAGACGGCTATAACGGCGTCAAATAAACTTCATGAAATATGTCTGGACAAAGTGGTTAAAGCTCCAATGTCCTTTTTTGATTCCAATCCAGTCGGTAGAATTCTAAATCGATTCTCTAAAGATCTTGACGAAGGTATTTTAAATATTAATACATATCTGAGATATATATGTTTACTGTCAAAATCGTAAAATTATACGAATGTATTTAAGTTTATTATGCATGTTACTTATTCTTGTTCTTTTGCCTTCAAATTGGTTACCGGACCTGAAGTATGTTCTTAACACAGGGTAACGACGTGGCTTGTGCCTTATTTTGAAGAAATCAATTTTAATTTCAATCGCTTTGCGAAGACATCTGCTGCGAAGCCATCTGTAATATCTATTACATAAACAATATATGTCATTTTCATTGATCTCATGTACTACGTCAGTCTCATGGAATATGTATTTCTTGACATGTAGCCTTATATGTTGACTTGAACAATCAAGTATGCTTAGGATTGAGACAGGGTCTAAGCTATTTAAAGCTATTACATGCAATTGGCAATGTAGGTTATATTTGGCTGAGTTCATCTGTCATCTTGTAAAAAAAGGAAAGAAAAGATCATCTTTAAGAACATGCGTTCTATTTTATTGTAGGTGATGTATTCATACCACAATTTACCAACACGTTACTTCAGATACTTTCATTAGTTATACTATCTGTGGCAATGGCAGCCTATATAATACCATGGATTTTGATAGCAATTGTACCTGTGGTCATTGTATTTTATATCATGAAGCAAATATCGACGGTATCAGTACGGCAGTTGAAGCGGTTAGAAAATATATCAAGATCACCTCTTATAAGTCACGTTAATGTGACGTCACAAGGATTATCAACAATTGTTGCCTACCGACAACAAGAACGTTTCTTTGACAGGTAAGCGTTTCCTTCGAGCGTCATAACTCGTGAAACAGTTCTATGTTTCGTTGTTATGCTCCTTAACATATATTTCTATAATTATACAGTTACCACTTCGTCCGTTTGACGGTCCCGTTTTTGCCCAGGTATATTTTCTTAGTAACTTTGTCAATTAAGACTCTCTCAGTAACATTTGATTATTTACAAATTTTGGTCATGGCTTAAACAACTCATAATATAGTTAAAAAAAAAAGATTTCATACATTTATTTGTTCCAGCTATTACTCAGTTAATGACTGTTAAAACGTCATACAAGCTTCTCACCCAAAAGCTTCAAATATAAGTATCAGTTTCCGGTTCTTAATGACCATCTATCCATTAAGTATATGCGATACTATAGAGGAACAGTGTCGTAAAGACGACGTTACGTTAGCGGGAACGACAGGCAGACAACGTTACGTTGGCGGGAAGAAGAGTTCATACGACGTCATTTCCGTTGCATTGTTATTTTACCGTTAATAAACATTATCATTTTAGACACAACGCAAAGTAGTTGCTTCTTATTTCACTGACCACTTTATACATTTTGGTGCCGTGACAAAACAGAAATTATGGATATTTTGAGAATTAAGAAGAGAAGAAGTGCACATAAGGCTGTGATAACACGTCAACTTGGCAAATTAGAAGAATATGCGGGCGATAATACGCACTTTAATACCGTTTTTGAAACTCTACGTAACAAACTTATGGCACTGGAAGAGATCAACGAGGAGATAATGTCGCAAGTAGATGAGATAGACATGGAGACCGAGATGCTCGAGACTGAGGACTATATGCTGGAAGTTCGGATACGAATTGGAGATTTGGAGGCTCAACACCGCGCTGCCGTGGAGATCACCCGTTCCCCACAAATTACCCTTGAGAATAACACACTTGAGGAGCCCCTAAATAGTAACAACCATGAGACCGCACAACCCGTGCACAGTAACACCGAAGGAACTTCCGGGAACCGAAATAATAGCACATCGGCTAATAAAGTAAGTGAAATTTCAATTCAGTCTGCAACACAGTTTCATAAACTTCCGAAGCTTACATTACCAAATTTTACTGGAGACATTTTGGAGTGGCAAACATTTTGGGACTGTTACGAGTCAAGCATACATAACAACATGTCACTATCTGAGGTGCAGAAATTTTGCTATCTGAAAACTCTATTGTCCGACGATGCTGCCAGTGTGATTGATGGTTTGAATGTTACACATGGAAACTATTCAGAAGCTATACATTTACTCAAGGAACGTTTTGGTCAGACACATAAAGTTGTAAATGCGTACACGCAAGGTTTGTTGGATTTACCTAGACCAACTTCCCAACTGTCCAGTCTAAGACCGTTTCAAGAAAAGATGGAGGCATATATCCGTGGTCTACAGTCCCTAGGTCAAGGTCATGAGTCCTTTGGAAATTTACTTATACCAGTCATACTTGAAAAACTTCCGGCGGAGATCAAGCGGAACATGACACGTGACCATGGCGGGAGTGAATGGTCACTTCCGGAACTTAGGAGAGCGTTAAAGATGGAGATCAATATAATAGATTCAGGCCAGCCAACACAGACTACATATGAACATTTGGCAACTGCATCTTTCCTTACAAGCACAAGACCAACACAAAAGAAGAAATGTTTTCAACACATACAAGAAGTCCAAATACCCCAACGCCCCCAATGTCCATTCTGCAGTGATAAACATTTTGCTAATGACTGTAAAAACATCATAAATCCTAAGGAGAGAAAAGCCATTATTCATCGCAAGAAACTGTGTTTTAACTGTTTAGGCAACCATATTGTTGCTTCCTGTCGCTCAAAACACCGGTGTAGAAAATGCAACCGGAAACACCATACCAGTATTTGCGATCAGAGTATCGGAAGCTCACTGAACACATCGGCTCCAAGTTTCGTCCCTACTTCCGGTAGTGAAGCAACAACGCATCTTACTTCCGGTTCCAGTGCACAATCGGCCATTCTACATTCTGCAACACAAAGTAGAAACAACGTTTTACTGAAGACTGCTGTTGCTGAGGTTACTTCCGGTCACGCCTGTGCTAAAGCAAACATTTTATTTGACGAAGGAGCGCAGCGTTCATTTATTACTCATGAACTCGCCGAAACACTACAATTACAGAGACGCGGGTCTGAAGTTGTCCATCTGGCTGCATTCGGGGCGGAGTCCAAGAAAGTCGGCCATTTTGAAACCGCCACAGTTTACCTGATAACTGACAACTCAGAGAAAATTGCCATTGATGTCTTAATTGTGCCGTCTATTGCTGTCCCTTTACGTAACCAAATACGAGCTGCCACACATTTGCCATATTTACGAGGTTTGAAACTAGCCCACCCAGTACCGGAAGTTGACACATTCAACATATCATTACTTATTGGAGCGGATAGATATTGGGAGATAATTGGAGACCGTATTATACGGGGCGACGGACCGACAGCTGTCCAGTCAAAAATTGGTTTTCTTCTGTCCGGACCACTTCCGGTGACGTCATCAAGCACAGCTACGAACTACATTATGAACATTATTACATCTGCACCAGATTATAATGATCTTGAGCGATTCTGGAAATTAGAATCCATCGGCATTTTACCCGCAACAGAAGAAAAGGCTTCTGACTACTTGCATAATTATCAGAAGAACTGCATTACCTTTGAAAATGACAAGTATACTGCCTCGTTACCATGGAAACCTGATCACCCTAATTTACCCGACAACTATAACATCACATTAAGAAGAACTCAGAACACCATACGACGATTACGTGAAGACCCCCCTTTACTACAAAAGTACGACGGCATAATTAAAGACCAGGAAAAGAGAGGATTTATAGAGAAAGTGAATGTTTTATCAAGTGAGCGTCCCGTGCACTATATCCCACATCACGGAGTAAAGAAACATTCGGCCACCACCCCTATCCGTATTGTGTTTGACTGTAGTTGTCGTCAAAACAAAAATTCACCGAGTCTTAATGATTGCCTTGAATCAACCCCTCCTCAGATCAACGAATTGACGAGTATTTTAGTGAACTTTAGAAAGCACAGATATGCCGTCTGCACAGATATTGAGAAGGCTTTTCTTCAAATACAACTCCACGAGAATGATCGTGACGTCACACAATTTATATGGTTGAACGACATTTATGATCCAAATAGTGACCTTACAACATACAGATTCAAGTCCGTACTTTTTGGTGCCACATGTTCACCATTTATACTTCATGCCACTTTAACCAAGCATCTGAGTGCCAATGATCATATTTGGGTGAGTGCAATACTTAAGAAAGACTTATATGTTGATAACGTGATGTCCAGTTTTTCTGACGAGAGTACTCTACTTGACTACTTCCAGAACACACGCAAATTGATGACATCTGCTGGTTTTAACTTACGGACCTGGAGCTCTAACAACAGTTCCCTGCGCAGCCTAGCGGAAGCGGAAGAAGTAGCCGAAACTGAAGAAATAACTAGCATCCTTGGAATGAAATGGGACTCGATATCAGACCAGATTTTCTTAGCACAGAAGACAATTTCTACTTCCCAATTTATGACAAAACGTGTCATACTCAAGGAAACAGCGAAGATTTATGACCCCCTTGGCTTCCTGACCCCACTCACAATTCGTGCAAAAATCCTACTTCAAGATATTTGGAAGCAAAAGTTCGAGTGGGACATGTCCCTACCAGATGACCTACAGACCCAATGGTATAACTTTGCTAAAGACTTAAACAGTGTAATCCCTACCAGATACCCGAGAAGTTACTTCAAGGAAACTGACTCTTTGGCATTTACGTCCGGTATAGGCGACAGTGCTGCCAGCGCATCCTCAGATATTCATCTTCATGTGTTTTGTGACGCCAGCCTTAAGGCCTATGGATCAGTAATATACATTACACGTGGTGACCAGTCTGCACGTGTTATATCAAGGACACGTGTCGCACCTTTGAAGCTTCTGACATTACCAAGACTTGAACTTATGGCTGTAGTGATTGGTTCAAGACTTCTGCAGCACGTGCTACAGACGATACCTACAGCATCCGTACACATGTGGTCTGACAGTCAAATTGTTCTACACTGGCTGTCATCCAACCGGAAGTTGAAAACATTTGAACAGAATAGAGTGACTGAAATACACAATCTTACAGAGAACAGAAGGTGGATGTACTGTCCAACCGAGCACAATCCGGCTGACATGTTGACAAGAGGAATTACAGCTACTGAATTTCTGAAGAGTAGATTATGGGAGAAAGGTCCTGATTGGTTAACTGATGAAAGTCGATACCCGAGCCAACCAGCTGTTGTAACAACTGTTTTACTCGCAGAAGAACAAGATGATACACTTGTTACCATGACAACCTACGACATTCACAATGTCATTGATATCAATAGATTTAGCCGTTACAGAAAGCTTCTTAGGGTGACAGCCTATATGATGAGATTCATTCAACATTGCCGATCTGCGAGAACTTCCGATAATACGTCAACTCTGACGTTAACTGTAAAAGAACTTGCCGATGCTGAGAAGATGTGGCTTCATAATTGCCAAGCAACCACCTACAGCGCTGAGATTACATGTATCAAGACCGGAAGGAGAAACCTAACGCTTGTTAGGCAACTACAATTATACCTTGACAATAATGGCTTCATTCGCTGTGGTGGTAGGATTCATAACGCCCCTTTAGCTGAGCAAACCCGATTCCCATATCTGCTTCCGTCAAACCACCAACTGACGAAACTTGTAATTTATAGACGCCCATGAAAGACACTTACACGCAGGTACGAGTGCACTTATTACCCATATACGCCAGAAATATTGGGATTCCATCGATACGCCAGTGTATTCAGAAATTACTCCGGAAGTGTTAACCAGTGCCACCGAGTGTCAGGGAAGACCGTACACAGCGCCAGATCCACCACTTTGCCAAAGATACGAGTTCAAGATACACAACCTTTTACTGTGACTGGAGTTGATTTCACCGGAGCTTTACATGTACGAGGAAAAACAAAAATGAGAAGGCAAATACATTTGTCTTTTTACTTGTGCTTCGACCAGAGCTGTTCATCTAGAAGTAGTCTCAGATATGACTGAATCTTTATTTTTACAAGCGTTTAGGCGATTCAGTAGCAGAAAATCTCTACCCAAGGTTATGAATATCTGATAACGGAACAACTTTTTCAAGCAGCAGCAAAATACAATACGCCAATTAATGAATTCTACTTCCGTAAAAGACACGTTACACAACCATGGTACAGAGTGGAGATTTATTCCCAAGCGCGCTCCCTGGTTTGGTGGTTGGTGGGAAAGATTAATCGGTCTTACCAAAACAGCTATCAAAAAGGTTCTTGGTAGTGCATACGTCACTTATGATACTCTCCAAACAATCGTATCAGAGGTAGAAAGCGTCATGAACGACCGTTTTCCATTTGACTTACGTTACGTCAGAGTCAACCGACCCAGAACCAATTACACCAGCTCATTTGCTATACGGACGGCGTTTTGACAACCCTGCCCTTACAATGAAGATATATCCGAACCAAAACAGTTTCAAGAGATGGGATTACCAAACAAGCGAGAATACAGTCACAGATCATTAGCCATTTCCGGGATAGGTGGCGCCACGAGTACTTGACGTCATTACGCCAGTATCACCAAAAACTTACGGGAAAACAATAGCCAAACGATTTAAAGGTCGGCGATATTAGTAATTATTCATGATTTGAAACCCCCGAAATCACAGTGGAAAATTTTAGAAACTATTGAACAATTTTGATCCAGGCTGGTAAAGATGGATTTGACACGAGCGGCCATGGTTCGGCGACCAGTAAAACGGGCACACATACATCAAGACCAATTGTAAAGCTGTACCCCCTTGAGACTATTGTAACAGTTACCATATTTTTGGCGCCTGGGAGGAAATGTCGTTAATTACGACGTTAAAACTGTTTAGCGGGAACGACAGGCCAGACAACGTTACCGTTGGCGGGGAAGGGAAGAAGTTCATACGACGTCATTTCCGTTGCATTGTTATTTTACCGTTAATAAACATTATCATTTTAGACACAACGCAAAGTAGTTGCTTCTTATTTCACTGACCACTTTATACAAACAGATAATCCTTGTTGGAGATTGCAGGGCACAGCGATCAAATATTTGCAATGATATCACCAAGCCGAGCACGTTCAAGAACAACCTTCCCGCAACTGTATTAAATAATTAAATGGTGTGACCAACTGGCACTAAACTCATTCAAAAAATATGCTTTTTTCTCGTCTTTTCACCAATAAAATGCAGGGTGTACTGGAGTAGGCGATGTTCTTCTATGTCCATATTCTTATTTGAGGCGAGATGAGATGGATAGGACTCCGGTTGACATCATGGCAGCGATGGTAACTGTATGTAACCAGCCCTTATTTTATGCTCAAAAGGGTATGATTCCTCCAGCATTGCAGGTTTGTTCTGGGGTTATGTGGAAAGGTAAACAAGCTTAATTGTATTTACTTATTATATTATAGTTTCATGTGAAGGGGTAACGGTAACTCAGTGGTTCAGTAAAACTTTATCTCACATTTTCATTGGTTTTATGGGTTCAAGCCTTATTGGGTCATGGTCATGTTTTCTCATATGGAACCAGTATTAATTAGTTCAAGTTGACTCCACAAGTAAATAAAAAAAGTTGCGAAAAATTGTTTTTATGATGGAGTTAACATTTCAACTTTGCTTTTAAAACTTTGAGCTTTCAATATTTTTATTATTATTTAATAAGTGTCAAAACTGATTTATATTATAAGCTGTATCTTTGTTTAACAATTAGACAGTGAGTATCATCCAATTTTTGGTTCGTATGATGAATGAGACAGAGGCCAGGTTACGTCAATAGAAAGACTTTTCTATGAATACAATACTGTGAGTATTTAATATATAAGTTGAATCAATATATAATAGTTTGAATATAAAGTATTATAAAACATACTGATTTATACAGTTTCTTATTTTCCCCTTAGTTTAAAACAAAAAATAAGATATGGCTGATATCCTCCTTTGCGCATTATGTAACAATCAGGAATGAACTTTAATTTAGAACTAGCGATCTCTACAATTTACCAACTCTAATAAATATATTGCAATTGTTTATTCTTAATTTTATCGAATTAAACTATTTTTACTGTTACATCAGTCTCTAATATCGGAACCACAAAAGTGACCGAGAAGATACCAGATAAAGGAATGGCCAAAAGGGTTCTGTATCCGTTTAAAGATGTCATCATGAAGTATGACCTGATATGAATCCGGTCTTGGGGGCAAAAAACA